CTACAGTTTGAAAATTTTCACCGACCTTCATTTCTCAGACCCTTTCTACTCCAGTACACTTTTTCCCGCCTTGACATCATTCTTTTCTTACCCAACTGTTTTTTGCATGCTGCTGTGAAATGTAGTAACTTGAACGGATATACTTCGCTGCGAACTCCTACAATGATTCTGTCTATCGATAGTGTAAAGATTAAAACAGTCATATACACTTGTACTGCATGCTGTGTTGAATAGATTAACTTACAAACTTATCCTACAACCTCAAGATGCATCGAGATCTCCTCCCTCCTGAGCATACTAATAGTCAACCTTCACTTTAAGTATTCTTCACTGATTAATGAACATCCAATGAGAGATCAGGTGATTACAGGAAGGTGTCTTAACCACTCCTATGATAATAACAATCACAATACGATTGTTCTTATGAATAGTGAAGGCTAAATATATAGTAAAAATTACCTAAGAACAGAATCCCTTCATACTACCAGTCTACATTGTAATAAAACATTATATGGATAAGAACACAATTCTATCAGATATGCTGACTAGACCAAACTGACTGATCATGATTTGCATATGAGGTGCTATGCGAATGTCTCGATACACCTCATAATTTTTCAGTTTGATACTAATTATAGATAGCGACCAGCAGTGGAATCATAAACAAGTATCACATCCTACTACTGTCGAGTTCGTCATTACCTCTGCCGGTGTCGAACCTTAGCGAGAAAAACAACGTTGGCTCACTCACTCAGTCACAGGCGACGGCATCCCGCTGATCCGTAATGAATAGGACAAAATATGCATTCTAGATTCCACTGCATGTCACTTCCAGTGAATAATATATCATTCTACCCACATATCGACCAATACCATCTAGTGTACAGTGGTTTGGCGGACTCATATTATTGACATTGGGTGATGATTAAAGTTGAAATGAAAATCTGGGTCGAGGGAGAATTCGAACTAGAGACCACCGGCTACTCGTTCACTGCTCTACCAAATGTGCTACGTGACCCGACTACTAATCAAATTTTTATTTCACTTCAATCATCAGGGGTTTTGCTCAATTGTCATGTGAATTCATGATGCGTTACTATAGCTTTCCCATACATTGGCTGTTTAACCCAGTCAGGACTTTCTATCTCGATCCAAATCTGACTGAATTACAGGGGAGAGGAAGCATCATACTGCTTATCATTTTGACTATCTAGGTAAGCCGTGAATTTGGCAGAGTTGTATTACTGAAGGCGAAATGAAAATTTGGATCGCAGGTGGACTCGAACCAGCGACCACCGGATTTTTATTAAACAAAGAAAAAACATACAACGATGACTCAAGTAGTATATTTCTCTTGACGAGGAAATGGCGTATATAAATGTATGTATATATCTTGTGTATATGTGTGGTTGTGTATGTATATTCATGTATATGACTAATAACAATAGTAATAGTAATAACAATATATGCATATATCTACATACAAAAAGAGATTAGGCGGCGAAAAATAGCCAATTCACTGAGTGTTACGCAGTTTTCTCCTCAAATAATATTGATGATGACAATAATAATAATAACAGTAGAAAAAAAACCAAAAGAGATCTAGATAGGTGGGTCAATTGTATGTGTATATAAAAAACAACATACTGTCTGTATGTGTGTGTGTATATGTGTATGTGAGAGAGGGTACGTGGGTGCTGTGTAGCAACAAAGAAAATGAGATTACAAGAAAAAAATCAGTAGGCAGACAAAAAAGAAATGAAGGAACAGTAGGCAATAAATTAAGCGAGAAACAACGACAACAAGAGATTCAATAAATAAATAAACACACACACATGTATATATCCCCTGTCCAGTCCCTGTTTAATGATGACAGTTGCAGTAATTATTGTTACTAGATTGTGGAATACACAAATCAATCAATCCACCCCCTCTTAAAACAATTATCATCAAAAATTCCATGGATAACAAAATAACTACAAGAAACGGGAAAAATAAGACGACACGATAGGCCAGACCAAGAAAAGAGGAGGAGATGGCGCTACACAATCATAACAATAAAATACAGCAGGCATAAGATTTGGAAGGCGCATTCTTTCATTTTATTTGTTGTTCATTTTATAGAAAACTACCACTGCTACTGCTGTATGAAATGCTCTTCACAGAAACAAACAAACACATAGATAGAAATAAGGAAAAAAACGGGGTGTGGGAAGGCAAACGAAAAATAGGACACAGAAATGGCGCGAAATATAGAAAATCTTTGATTTATTCAACACACCTAGTATCAAATAATAAGTAAATAAATAGGTAGCGAGAATAGCATATGTCATATAACCATAAAGAAAATGTGATGTAATATGCATAAAACCTGTTCCTCTGGGATGTTTTTCGTTAAGCAAATAGGCGTTAATACCTGTATTCCCTTCATATATGAATATATGTATATGCACGCATTTCATTTTCTGTAGTTTTCTATATAAATCATGTATAAAGACTAACCCTGACCGTGGCAAATAATCGTACAAGTAAAGAAATGGAAATAAGTGACGAGAGAATTTTTTTTGAAAGGAAAAATAAAACCAGACAAACAAAACCAAATGAATACATTGTCATTATATAACAAGTACAATGAATAGAAAGTAAATAATTACAATCAGTCCCCTAACATATATATATATATATATATATATATATATATATATATATATATATACCATGGGTACATGAAACTAAGCGGAAGAAGACAAAAACAGAAACAACGAAACAGAATAGAAGACACAAAACAATATATCCAGGTGATAAGACATCCAAAGAACAATAAATAAATAAACACAAAGCATTCCAGTGGAAAAATAGATAAAAAGTAGTATGATTTAAACTTTGCAAAATAATATGTATGCAGTATACAACTTTCAATGTAATAATTCTCAATCTATTTGTCCAACTCACTAGCCCGCTGGTCCACCTTTTCCTCTACCCCTCATCTAAGAGTAATTGAATACACAGAAAAAGAAATGAGGAAGTAAACGAGAGCGAGCAACAGAGAGATAATTGAATATTGATTGTCTTGAAGTGAACAGATAATCACTTCTGTCATAATGATAACTTTTCATGATCAACAGAAAACCGATAGCTCCCAAGTACACGCTGCGCCTGACAAAGAGAGAGAAGATGGGAAACTTGCAAAGTTATTTTTCTGAAGCAAGAAACAAATCAACCTGAGCAGGTTTATATACACATGAACAAACGAACACACACACACACACACACACACACGGAGAAAGAGACAGAAAGAAAGAGGAAGTCAGAGAGTAGACTACCACTACTACTACGACTACTCGAGACACATTTATCATCATCTGCCACAAGAAAGACGTTACAAGATAGGATAGCAACAAGAACAATAGGAGTAACACAAAGACATTTTTTTCCAATGTGAATTTCACTTCATGCATTTTTAACAACAACAAAACTATAAACGGAACAACAATAACACCTTTACTAATAATCACAATGGTATAAACAAGAAAGAAGATTATCATAAACAAAGGAAAATTATTAACATATATACAAAAAATTTGAATGAATTTCCCACACTTACATTTTTAGTTGATACCTGAAGTAAACTTTCGTCAATGCACAAAAAGTAAGGAGATTGCAGCAAAATATGACGAGAATAATAATAATAATGTTGATAAGGTTGACAATAATCATCGTCACCGACAAAAAAAAAGTGCATATAACACGATGGAACCCGATAACGAAAAACATTTACCTCGTCAACTAATTCGCCTTCACAAAACACTGAGAGAGAGAGAGAGATGAGATCAGTTTACTTTTATTACTAGGCGAGTGAGATAAGGTAAGGGGGGGGAGGGCGGAGCGGAGGGGGACAAACAGAGAAAAGCACAAAAACCAAATGAGTCAAAGCAATAATCGTAATAATAATAATAATGCACCACAAAACAATACACACAATTTATCAAAATAATATACCTGTTCACGATGTAGTAGTAATAGTAATAATAATAATAGTAACAATAATAGTAAAATGGTTTAGTAATCCAAAATGTCCTGATAAAGTTTGTCTGCATGCGCACTTCTGTGCATGATAACCAAACATACTCATTACACACATAAATAAATACACAAAAAAAAGCAACTTGGGCAGACGGGGAGTATACTTCAAAAAAAGGAAAAAAACAAAAGTTAAGGCAACAAAATTTCATTAATTCAATTATTGTAAGAAGAGAAGACAGGAACTGATGATATCACCTGACTGGAACAAAGGCGCGAGTATACACGCACTCATCCATATATAATCCATATAATACAATAAACAGCATATACAATTTTGCCAAGTCTTTTGTCTGTCTGTCTGTTTGTGTGCTGGTGTATAGTGATTTCAACCATTATCTTTCATTTCCTTTGTTTGATGATTACTCCTATCCCCAGTATCTACTGTGAAAAGAAATCCATCAATCTCTAAGCTGAAAATCATTGTTCTTGTGTACAAAACAAAGGGGAGAATCTTTTATTATCCATTCGTGTGTGTGTGTGTGTGTGTGTTGTGTATTGGAGTGATGATAGATTAACAGACAGACAAAACAAGAAGAGAGGGAGAGAGACTCATACTGGAAATGGCTCGATACAAGATTGTTTTGAGGTTGTTGTAAAGTACAAGTAAGCAAACAAAATAATGTCAAACAAAAAAAAATTATACAATACAAAGAGTAGGAGAAAGTGCAAGATACATAATAGTTATTTCATCATCAAATGATCTTGTCTACAATAGACAATGATAATGATAATTAATAACAATTTTCTCTCAATTAAAGGAAATTGTGTACACAAATTAAAAAATAATAAAATAATGATCATCATATAGTGTTCAATAAAGCATTGAGAGACAAGACGAGACAGAAAGAGAGAGAGAGAGGAACGAATATATATATATATATATATATATATATATATATATATATATATATATAAAACAGGCATTATCTTGTTACAATACACTGATTTGTTATAGAATTAGATATTGAAGAAGGAGATGATGATGATGATGATAAGGCTTTCAAATTGCAAGTCATTGCAGTCATCGTCGTCATTTGAGGAGGATGGAGTGGTGGATTTGTTAAAAAGTTCAATTCATTTGACGTTAAGCTTTCATGATAATGCTGTTCCGATTGCTGATGATGATGATGCTTAGTTGCAATCATATTTTCAACTGAGGAGCAGCAAGAGCGAGTATCGGCGGGGAAGACAGCAGCCGTGTTCGGGAGAAATACAGAAAAAGGGTGCATAAGAAAACACCAATAAGTAAATCATGAAAGATTACATTTAAACTAACATAATTCATGTGATTCACCAACTATGTGCAGCATCCTACTCTAGACAAGATGCACAGATAAACGAAGTCGACGTGGAACCTTATACACAAGTGAGTCACTTCAACTTTCTACACTTCAAAGTAGCATGGAAATAACAAGTGGATATAAAATACTGATTTGAAAATAGACGATGAAGGTTCGTGAAAATATTCAATCTTTAGTAGATGCGAAAGAGTGAAAACATCTGCGCCACCATCAGTGATTTTAAACCATATCATCAAACGTCTGTAACCATTCCTTCTTATAGTCTCAAGTAGTCTACACTTGTCCACACGACTTAGACGAACAGTTACTGACTTCAAAGTCAGTCTAGTCATTCTGAGTCCTCTTCCAGTCTAATCCAACCTCTCTTAGCTTGGCACGTCGAGGTAGGCAGTGGCTCAGTAAGCGCAGCACATGTCCAAGTCATCCCATTCCATCGAATTTCTTTCCTTACCTAGTACCCCCTTCGCCAAACCTCTACACTGCTCACAAGGTGATTCCACCATACATGAGACACCTGTTGCTGAAAACTTGTAGTCTCTTAATATCTCCTACTTTTAATAACCATCTTTCATGACCTCGTAGAAGAACATAAGGGGTTGCAGAGCAGTATACTCGTCCCTTAATAGGAAGTCGGATACTTCATCAGTAGGCATCAGAGAAGAGGAAAGTTAGCAAATAGTAAACGGGTCTTCTATACCCGAGCTGAGATTTCGTCAACAATCAGCCCGTTCACGCTAACCATCTCTCTTCTTATGATTGAAGTCAGTGTTGGCCAGAAACAAATTATTGTCAGAGCAAAAATGTAACAGACGATCATTGTAGTCGGTTTGTTGGTATGAGATCCGTAGATACCCCCTCAGTTGCCCTACTTGTGCCTTGAAGCCACCTGTTACAACTACATCTGAACGTTTCCTTTGTGGAGCAAAATTGATACAGCTTCTCATACGATTCATCTTTGGCATACTCCGAACTGCACAAACATGGCAGCTGACTCAATGCTATGCCCGCATCAGCAAGTCCAGGAGAGCTAACCGTTGGATCTCTGAATACTCGTAAAGTGGATTTCAAGCTCAAGTTTGTTATAATACTAGATAATGTATAACACCAATAGTTTGAGTATTGAATGATGTTGCCCCCTAACTGCAAACACGTTACTAGACAGAACAGAACTCAAAGCCATAGATCATGATTCGACAGTTGAGTGAGTAGTCAGACTAATCAACCACATAAATCCACTTACAGATTGATTATACTCACGCGCCATGCAATGTTACTTATTTTTATCGCGGTTTAGGATACTGAACGCTGATTGGTCCATTTTGTTTTCCCTGGCCAATGTAATCTGAGGAAATATACACGACTGATCTTTCAGGCATGAGATTATTTGGCTGAAGTAAATACACTTTCAATCTCATCGTCTTCTTCTGGTGTCAGCTGAATATCGAGTTGAGAAGTCAATGTTCTATCTTTAATCGTATCGCATCGGAGTATTGTATCGTAATGTGGATCATAACACTAAGATTTCAAGCAAGACTAGAGCTAAACATAATTTCTGATATCCTAAGAAAAAATAGGCTGTATGTGAAACAATAAACAAACGATTTTATCGACTTTACCCATTAAACTATCAATAAAATGCATAATGATTACAGTGAACTTACGATCAAATACATCGTTGATAAGATCATCTGGTAATAAATTCTCTTCTTGTTGTTGCTGTTGTCTAAAATCCAACTGTAACATTGATTCCAGATGAACAGTATTATCCTCGTGAGGTATTACTGATGAGGATAGGGTAGTAAAACTCCGTGAACCTGTTAGGGGATTATTATTATTACTAATAGTAGTGGTAGTAGTAACATAATTGTGTAGAGCTGAAGAAGCGGAGTTATCTGATACACCTCCATTGATCATAGTCAAACAGCTTGGATGACATTCCAGTGAAGCATTACCTCATAAGGATAATTATTAGGATTAACAGTCATCAGAGAGGATTCACAGGAGGTATATGCAAATTCTGTTGACTGACAAATTGGTGATTTCAACAGACCTGTTTGAGATGTAGTACTAGAAGATGGTGAAGTATTGGCTGATACACTGATTGGTGATAAACTAGAAGGTGTAAGCCGATAAATATTTGAATGATTCAGTGTATTAAAGCATAATGATGAATTATTGTGGTTGAGAAAATCATATGTATCAGTTTTGTTTTTCTTTTCAATTTCATTAGAGCTAGAAAAACCCTGAGAATGATAACCGCTACCACCACCATGGACAAGGTGAACTGATTGAGGAGGATAAGCATTATTACTACTTAACGAAGACATGTTATCTGAATTCAAGGGAACCTGATGAACGGAAATTGACTGAGATGTAGTAGGTGACCATTGTTGACAATTGACAGAACTGTTTGAATTTTGAGCAGGACACAAGGAATAGGTGATGTGAGGATTATGCACTGCCTGATGATTAGAAGATATTCGAGAAGTACAAGGCAGTGATGATAATGATGAAGTGGAAAAGTGATCAACTCCTCCCTCAGTTGAAGAGTAAGCCTCATAGATATTCATTGGGATAGGATCAGAGAATTGCCTAGATACCTGAGAGCAGTGAAATCCCCGATGATTATCTCCAGGATTATTGTTGTTGTTTTGATAAATAACCTGGCGACCGACCAATGCTTGACGTAGTTCAGCCTTAACTAGACGACTAAAAAAGGAAGATAATAAAAAAGGACCGGAATTAGATGGATGAAATAGAAAACCAAGGAGGGATTCACCTCAAAATTATTCGTAAGGAAATTTTTTCTGAAAAAAAATGCGTAAGTACACATTTCTAATGTCATAAGAGAAGGGAAATATGAAGCAAAATAATATCGAAATTCTTTAAATTTTCCTGAAAGTGTCCTGAATCGTTTCCATATCTATCCGCGGACTAGATGTCGATGAAAATAGAAGAGAAACGCCCACACATACACACACACCTGGCCCAAGAGGTTCAAACAACTCCCAGAGTGTAAACATTCGCATGGAACATGCCAATACTGCATAACAATCTCATTTACAGTAGTTCAAATCAGCACAACAAAGTAGAAGGCAATGAGAGAGAGAGAGGTGGAAAGAAAGTCACATAAATCGAAGAGGGGAGAGCAAAACAATGAAGAACATGATGTCCAACTGCTACCCAGTTTTTTATTTCACCTTCAATCATCAAAGTAGGTTTTGTCCGACTACCATGTGAATTCATGACACGTTACTATCATTTGATCGTATTCACACTTACTACCAGTCTAGTCAGGACTTCTCATCCCAATCTAAATCTGACTGAATTAAAGAGGAAGAACATCATATTGACTATCTGAATGAGATATCAGCTGTGCTTTGCCAGACTTATATGATGGATATTGGGTGATGAATGATTGAGGGTGAAATGAAAATTTGGACCGTAACCGGATTCGAATCAGCAACCACTGGGTTTCCGGCCCGATGCTCTACCAACTGAGGTACGAGGTCCAACTGTTGACCAGATTTTTATTTCACGTCAATCATCACTCAATATCAATGACTAGTCTGCCAAACTACGGCTGTCTCACTCAGATGGTCAAAATGATGCTTTTGTTTGATTGAATATATCTTGATATTTAATTATATATAATATAATGGTTAGATGAGATACGACGCTCATAATACTTCCACGATATTCATAATAAATAGAATAGAATCGAGTCGAAACAAAATACATTCACAGTAACCACGTATACATTCGTGCAGTAGACAATGACACCAGAACTATTCCATATGAGGTTCAATAAGCAACTACCTGACTAATCAAATTTCGATAGGTGGAGTGCGGTATTCAAATCCATGATTTATTAGGTGGAAGCCAAATCCTTAAATCAATCAGTAGGCATGCTGATGTTATGTTAATTCAAAGACTTGTTATTACTGAAGCATATTATACTTGATTCGGGGCATATTTTTCTTTGAACGAAGTGATTACCCTTTGGATATATATAAGATGAGCGTGGAGGCCCGCCTGAACCCCTCGATATCAAAATTATCCACCAAACACTTTTTGTTTTAACGAATTCTCTCCTTTCAATTTGTTTTAATCATTCACAAATATATTCTTTGAACGTATCATGTACTCTGACACATTTTTAAACTGTTTGCAACTCTCTGGTTGTCAACTACATCACAAAACAGAGGAAAAATGTCACGTTATATGGAAATGGACTTCTCACTGCACAAAACTACATCATTTCTTTATCAGTCAAATGCTTAGATTGAGTTGCAGATATTTATTTGTACTGTCCAAATGAACGACAACGACGACGACCACCACCACCACCACCAAAATTACGCTTGGATTTCTATTGATTCCTCATTATGGACCGGATGTCTATCCAGAAGCAGTTGTTCATTTCACATTATTCCCTTGAATACTGGTATTACTAACATGATGCAAATGGAATAACAGTTTCATCTGATGGTATTTTTCTCGGACTGAATTTGTTGAAAAATTACATGCTGAGAATTCCATGCTGTCAGACATATTAACTATGAATAGTGGTTAGAAGTAGAATCTAGGAATCTAGGATGCGCATTTCGTCCTGTTTGGGACTTGTCAACTGGATGTACCTGCCTCCCAGTAAATGATATTCTTCCCACCGGGATTCGGACTCGGCACTGATCGCGTAATCCACTAGACCACGAGGTGAGATGGCTACTTCTTGTGTGACGGGTATACTTTTAGTATAATTGCTTGTGCTAAACCGTCGTTGACTGAACCGAATTGATCGGTGTCTATTGGTAAATGGACTCCTGTGAAGATGCCTCGATATTACCTGTGTTGTAATTATAGTACATATTGTTTGGAATACAGCGATTATTATCCTTATTATTACTAAGGGTATTAGTATTATTTTTTGCATACAAACACAAACGAATATGAAAATCGACCCAGTGCAAAACTGTATAAGAGCTCAAGTTCCCTCTGCCTCACACACACACACACATGCATCCGCACACCCACACACCACACACACGTTATAACAAATACCTTCTGATTTATACAAAAATACACGAGAAAGCATTAGTAGTAGTAGTAGTAGTAGTAGTAGTAGTAGTAGTAGTAGTAGTAGTAGTAGTAGTAGTAGTATTTTCCACAAGTGAAAAATGCTGTTAATTCTCTGAAAATTGACCTCTTACAACTGACCTGGAGTTGTTCACAGATGATACAGAAGATGTTGTCGCTACAATTAGTGTTGAAGGATTGGAATAGACTGTTGCTACCGGGAAATGTATCTTGTTCGTAGGATTACCTGATTGTATAAACATCTGAGAATTGGGAAAGATTGATGTAGTTGTCAGTTGTTTGGATGATTGTTTCATTTTCGTCGTAGTAATGCTGTTGTTCGATGTTGGATAGACATGGGGTATTTTGTTCATATAATTCGATTGTTGTCTATCACTTGTCGGAATTGTACATGAAAGCTTGAATAAAGGAAAGAATGTATAATAATTCTTTCTTTTTGTCAAAGTATAAGCTCAGAGCATGGCAAGAAAATAATAATACTAAAGAGATCAACAGTATAATAATCATAATGTAGATTCTTAAAAGTATTTTCATCTGGATGATGGATAAGAACTTATGTGTTAAACCAGCTGGACAGAAAACAACTGGTTAATCAACTCGGGCCTGGGGACAAATACTCATCAATGACACTGAATGGTGGTTACACTATATCATGAATCAATAGTAATATGAAATTTGGACCATTGCATTTCGATCCACAAAGCCAACCCAAAGGTTCTGAGTTTGATCGTTGATGGAGTAGTGAATGTAAACTACACAGTTCCATACTAGGACACCGAGGAGAAACTTGAGTATGTTTAACATGACATGCGTTACGCATCTGTCAACTATAAGATGATGTCCTAGGAATGGTCCTGTGGCAAATACTCACAGTTTAATGATAGAGAGTGAAGTGGTGGAATGTATCGACCACTTCACTTACTTGGAGACTTATATCAACCGGAATGTAGTCGTTGTTGACGAAATCTCAGCTCAGATGCAGAAGATCCATTTGGCATTTGCCAGCATATGTCATCTGTGGTGCCAACTAGCGACATATCCAACCATCTATCAAAAGACGAAAGTACTGCACTGTAGTTTGATCCCTCCTGTTATACGGTTATGAGACAGAGCTATTGAACGTAGAAGATATGAAGCAATTACTAAGTTTTGATCACAGACTTCTTCGTAGTACTGTTCATGTTCGGTGGAATCACTGCCTGAGTAATGTTGAAGTCAGGTGAAGAGTACTAGGCAAGAAAAGTTGAAACAGACAGGGTTTAGGGTGGTCAGACCAAAACGTCACACTAGTCGATGAATCCTCTGACTGGTGGTCTGAGTTGTATGGAAAAATGTAGACTGCCTGGTTGGGGTCATTGAGATGAAAGGAATCAGTGATTGACGACATAGTTGAAAATCGGCCACAATCGTGGAGTAGATATATTCACCTTTTGATTTTTTTTGTAATGCTTGAATATTCACACTAACTATTGTCTTCAAATTTTTATTCGCCTCTCACACAACTTTATCTACTTTGGTTTTAGTCTCATCCAATCCACCTGTTCTTTGTAAGCTACTGTAAATTGTGACAAGTTGAATGAATCAATATGTGTGTATGTCAGTACGTCTAAACTAGAACAAAACATTTGTCCAGTGCTTTCAGCTTTCCAATAGTTCTTCAAATGATGTCACCACATAGAAAAAACTGATACTTTAATTCTCAGGGGAATTAATTATCTAATGTAACACAAGCAAACTTTATTTTACTTCAAATTCTTTAATTCTCTTACACTTCTTGATTGAGGTAGCAAATACATTTGAGTGATTGAAAACAAAATGCTTTAGTGCGGTTTTCTCGGTATGATCCAATCGCTAAATTCATTAAAGTGTGCAACATGGCGAACTAAACAATGAATAACACCTATATACGTGGCTGGTCAAACCTCAAGATGTGAAGTAGATTTCAATGCCGTAACCTAACGTCTAACAATCGGATACCAAAAGCAACGAACCATATACGTAAAGGATCAAAAAGTAATAAAATCACCATATCCGTAAAACCAGTCTATAAATTGAACATTGGAAACTATGAAGCTAATTTAGGGTAGTATTCGTCACGGACTGGCAACAGCTGGGGGAACCATTACAAACGTAGGACAAGTGGACATTAGCTGTTTCGTCCCAGTATAGGACTCCTCAGCAGTATGCACCCACGATCCGGCTAGGGGTCAAACTCAGGATCTTCAGGGTGAACGCGTTAACCATTCACAAACCGGATCGGAGTTCAATGGTTCACAGTTTCCAAATTTTGTCAATTCACGATATAGTGCGACTATCATGCACGGTCTTCAGTTGGCGTCCGCTTCCCTTCCGACTGATTGACCCCACACGTCATGGCTTCTCATTAGAACTTCGTAATATCCATCTAGAAGCATATCGCTAATGATCACTATACAATAATGTGTTTTGAGAGAAGCGGATCCCAACTGAAGACCTTGTGTGATAGTCGCGCTATATCGTGAATTGACAGAAGTTGATGATTGTGAACCATTGAACTCAGACCCGGTTGGTGAATGGTTAACGCGTTCGCCGTAAAACCTGAAGGTCCTGAGTTCGACCCCCTAGCCGAGTAGTGAGTGCATGCTTCTGAGGAGTCCTATACTAGGAAGGAGCAGCTAGTTGTTCAATGCTTCCAGGTTTTCAATGGTTCCGTGATGAATACATTATGAAGCTAGTTGTTAAACTAAAAACGTCTTGGTGCATACTGGTTGGAATACTGACACATGCATATCACAATATCCTGGTAATTGTGTGCGTGTAACCAAATAATTCTTTTCTTGACATCAAACAAATTGAAAATAATGAATTTTTTCACCCCTATGAGTTGATCGATGTTAAATAAGACATGTAAAAGATAGATGAATGTAATGTCCCTTCCAACGAACCATCAAGATAATAAGAATAGCCCTATTGGATAATCTCCACTATCTGATAGATCAAAAGAATAAACCAGAAAGTTAAAGGAGCAAACAGTAAAACATATTCTTGATTTCACACTGGTATTTACGATGGAGTGATATCAGTTGGAGAAGCACTGGAAACCAGTGGACACCTATGACTTCGCCAGGGAGGTATATATCCACAAACCTCTAAATTGAAACATTGTTGATTGTTAGTGTTTCAAAAGTACACCGCAACTGATCAGTAAGTTTATCATATAAATTAACTCCCACCAAAAAAAAGAGAGTAGATATTATCAATTTCAGTCAAATTACTCACTTGTACTCGAACATTTGGACCAACTTCTTTTAAAAATTTTGATAAATCTTCTGGACGATGATTATGATGTTGATGAGGAGGATAAAAACCGGTTAATTTTGATGTTGTACTAATTGAAGCAGAGTTAGAGGAATGAACTGTGGTAGCATTCAAGTTCAAAATATTTAAATTATTATTCTGTATTCCATTTGAACATAATGTTTTCTTTCTAAGTGATTTACTAGGGATAATATGTAAGAGAGGATGAGGAGTTGAACAAGTTGTAGTTGTTGCTGTTATAGTGTTGCTATGCAACAACATTTCCACTCCTCCTCCTCCTTCTCCTCCATCCATCATACTTTCATTGATTATGAACGGGTTTCCTTGATGACTGGTATCAACAGCAGTAACCGTATCTGGATTACAATATTCATAAGTGGGAATATGTTGTCTTGAATTTAATGAATAGACAGCAACTTGATTATACAGTTGGTGTTGAATAAGGCGCTAATAGAAAAGTAGAATAAATTAGAAACATTCAAAGTAATAAGTTAAATAAACATGTGATTATCGGTTTGAGATAGTAGCTGTGGTTTGGCAGATTAGTATTTATATTGGGTGGTGTTTGAAGGTTAAATGAATATTGACACCCCGGCCAGATTCGAACCGGAGACTATCGGGTTTCTGGCTCAATGCTCTACCAACTGACCTGCGAAGCCTCACTTCTAACCAGATTTTTATTTCACCTTCAATCATCAAAGTGGGTTTTGTTCAACTACCATGTGAATTTATGACACGTTACTACCATTTGATCGTATTTTACATTAGCTACCAGCCCAGTCAGGACTTCTCATCGAAATCCAAATCTAACTGAAACAGAGAGGGGGAGTATCTATTTGAATATCTGAGTGAGATAGCAGCTGTGCTTTGCCAGACTTATATGATGGATACTGGGTGATGAATCATTGAAGGTGAAATGAAAATTTGGATCATGGCCGGATTCGAACCAACGACCATTGGGTTTACAACCTAGTCCTCCACCAACTGAACTATGACATCTGACTGGTAACCAGATTCTTATTTCACCTACGATTATCACCCAGTATCAACATTAGTCTTCCAAACTATGGTTGCTTTCTCAGATAGTCAAAATGATAATCAACAAGAAGAGCTCCCCCCCCCTTCGCCTAAGAATAAATGGGTCATGTCAGAGATTTGTTGACAGAAAAGAAACATGAACTGGACAATACTCCATTTCAACAATTTCTTGCCTATAAGTTATAGGCAGAGGGTTAAGAAGCTTTGTTCATTGAAAGATGTTTGAAAGAAAATGGTTACCCTTAGAAATTTATAGATAAAGTCAAAATTAGAACAGTGAGGACACGTATATTTGATAATTTCGAGAAGAAACCTGTGTTACTCGATCTAACTTTCAAAGGGTAAGGGGGGAGTAAGAACTACACTGAAAATCACTTTTTCTAGAAGCTAAATTAATTCCCGTATACAAAACAAAGTGTTCACTAGAATAATCAAAAGTCGACAGATTCCCGCCTCATATCACTTTTCAAATTGTATCTACTAATTCACATGTACATGTAGGAGCACGTACATAGAAACGACAAAGAGGAAGGCTGAGACTAGATTTGGTGAACACATACCAGGTAAGTTACGCCTAAAGGAACTAAAATGCCTTAAAAATTCCCTTACTCAAACATTTGATCGACAGGCGACACGTCATCCAAATCTCGAAATCATTTAAAATAATTAATTAACAAAACAATGCTAATTATTACTATTTATTGATATGCTTGTTATTCTCCATTGTTTTGCTAGATCGAATTGTTCGACCATTATTGGTATATGGGCTCCTTCTGAGTCGATGGATCGATATTGCCTGAATGTTAATTATGGTAATTTTGCTTGGTTGTGGCTAGTAGGAGAATCTAGGATGCGCGTTTCGTCCTATTTGGGATTCGTCAAAATCAAGCAAAATGAAACACTACTAAGTTACTAAGATTTCTAGAGCCAAACACTGCCATCCAAAGAATTAAAGTAAACTTACAGATCCAAAAGAAGGCAATTGTTAACCTTCAATTTTCATGATAACCATTGGTTTATTTTATCATTCTGCAAAACATCTTCCGAAATTTGTATTTTCATCCATACCACCACCCTACCCCCTTTTAAAACCGAATTCACAACCAATAACTACTTCGTCTCCATAAGTTTACTATTTGACCCTGTTTGAATTCACCTTAAACCATACAAAACTGTTGACCCTATATTTACATTATTAACTCATCACATATATTTACATAATACTTTTCAATTGCATTTTGATTGGTCGTATGTTACAGGATGACAATGTGACTATATAAACATAAGATGATTTCAATTTTAATAATCATAAACTATTTCATTTAAATCTCCTTAATCTGTATCAATTTCATTACATCATCAATAGAATATCATCTTCTTGATAAGTGAATTATATGGATTCTATTTATCTCTATCTTACGAATTTGTAGCTTGTATACAGTTGAAGAGAAGGCGACAGAATACACCAAATGAATTCATCACAGCCTGTTAAACTTGTTGTTCTAACTTTGCTAAAATCCCCTTATTAATACTACTTCCTGTGAAAAGTTTCATGATACTAAATTTTACTGAAAATAAGAAAAAAAACAACGGATCTCATCATTCAAAAGTACACTAAAACACACCGTATATCATCGTATTACGTAATCACGTCAGCCAGTTTTGAGTGCCTCTCTACCTTTAATCAATTAATTACAATACACGTTAAACTTAGCAAACAATAACATGGACGGTGGTGATGGATAGTGGCTAGCAGTGGAATCAAGGTGAGCATTTCGTCCTATTTCGGACTCGCCAACCGGGTGTACCTGTTTCCCAGTGAGTGCTGTTGTTCCCACCGGGACTCGAACCCGGGAGTGATCGCTTCAAACGCCAGAGCGCTACCCACTACACCACTGAGCCACGATAGCCACTTCTTGTGCGACGGTATAGTTTTAGTATAACTGTTTTTATATCATACCGATGGGAACAACACCACTCACCGGGAACCGGGTACATCCAGCTGACGAGTCCCAAATAGGACAAAATGCGCATCCTGGATTCCACTGCTAGCCACTATCCATCATTACTACCATTAGAGCACCGGTAATATCGAGGCATCTGCACAGGATCCCATATGCCAATAGAGACCGAGCAATTCGGTCCAATCAAAGACGGTATGATATAAAAACAATCATACTAATAACATGGACAAACAACTTTACTCTTGAAACCATCACATATGACTTAAAACAAAGGAATAGATGAATGACAATCAATCTATAAATACACTTTAGTAAACAACGTGGGATCTTGGATGAAAATAGACGTCCTGTTCCAGTCATTTGTCACTTCACATCAACAACAGAAAATAATGATAACAATATGAATACTTCTGTCATTGTTAAAGAGAAGTACATGTTAATTAGTTGGATGAAGGTAATTGGTAGAAAGCCTTGGACTTAGGTTTCGTGCTATTGGCACTCGTCAGCAAGGCGTTTTTGCAACCTCTGGAACCTACAGGAAGCAGTCATGGCCCAAATAGCTCAGTAGTAACGTCTCTGACTGCAGCAAGAGGTGATCTGAGTTCGAATCTCGGGCGAAGCATCAGTTCCATAGAGGTTGTAGATATGCCTGACGAGTACCAATAAGCACGAAACCAATGTTCACGACGACCTGCCGATCGCCTCCATCCAACTAACATCTATCAAAGTGCATTGCGATGCTGAGCTACCTAGTCTACTGGTCACTGCAAAATTGATTGGTAGGATTCGATCAGCACTTAGGTCTAGACATGAAGTTGGTTACTCTTCAGTGACCAATCAATTATCCTCAAAATGAATATTAGGCAGTCGAATCAGTCAGAAGAAAGTATAATAAGACAAAGTCAAAACATTCAACTACATAATCTCTTATCGACGTAAACATATAGGTTGTAGATGAACCTCTTCATCTCGTAAGTACACTTAGTCACCGTCTGCTCCGTCATGCAGACAAACATAAAAAATGAATGTTAAACCTCCCACACAAGTACATCAGCTCAAGTTGTTACCCTTCATAGCAGTACACAAAGAAGAAAGTGAATAGAAAAAAGATTCATTTCAAAGTTGTGTGAGAGGAGAATAAACAATCTGAAGATGACACTTAGTGCGAATATTCAAGCTTTAGATATCAGCAAGACAACAAGAATCAGTCTTCAACCACTGATTCCTTTTGTTTTGATGACCCCAACCAGGCGGTATACATTTTCCCACATGTCTGAGACCAACAGTAAGCGACTGCATCAAATTCGTGATTCAATATGCTCAGTACATATCCAAGCCAACTTAGTCAGCTAAGGTTCACAATTTCATCAATCCACTTCCTCATCTTGTCGAGTAGTACGCTTCATCTGACGTCAACATTGCTCACACAGTGATTCCACCCAACGCGAGCAGTGTCATGACGAAATCTGTGATCATAACTCTGTAACCGCTTCACATTTCTCCTACTATCACTGTCCGGTTACACAAGGTGTGAGACATAGCTGTTCAAAGGCATGCATTGTTAGCTAACGCAGATTTAGACTGAAAAAACTAAAGCATAACATCACTCCATGAGGTCTTTGAATGTTGACTTGAACCATGCAGAGGAGAATGTAGACTTTAGGTGTTATATAACTAACAATGGGTAGGTGTGTATGGAAATTATGAACATTTTCATTACCAGACCAAACTTCATTATTGTCTCACTCCTTTCAGTTCTCTTTTCACTACTTTCTTCTTCTTCATCTTGATGCACATTCTCATCTGATGTCATGAATATCAAGTATGGCAACTTCGAACGTTACCTACCCGCTTTCATGTTGAGACAGATTGATTAAATGACTGATCCAGCTGTAAAATGTTTACTTTATGATCAAAACATATTTACCAATAGGTTAATGAGAGTTCATATCCGAAATTAATAAGTCTTCTATTATGCAACAAACAGTGATCATTTCCTTACCAAAAGTGGAGATTGTGTAACTAGCAATTGAATATTGAAATCAGCAAGTACATACTTGATATGAGTTTACAACAAACCTGAAATGACATTATAATGATAAATAGTGCCTAGCAGTGGAATCCAGCATGCACGTTTCGTCTTGTTTAGGACTCATCAGGTGAACGTGCCAGCCTCCCAGTGACTGTTGTTCCCACTAGGATTCAAACTTAAGACCGATCGCTCCAAACGCCAGAGGGTTATCTACCACACCACTGAGCCATGATAACTACTTCTTATGCAAAGATGGTATGTGTGAATATTGTTACCTGTATTATCCCATCGCTGATTAAACCCAATACATCTGTTTCTATTGGCATATGCACTGCTCTTACATGGATGCCTCAATATTCCGTGTACACTCAATTTTGACATTGATAATGGATTGTAACTAGAAATTAAATCCAAGACGTTACCAATACAGACCAATTAATTCAATTCAATCAATGAAAGGATAACATAAACGAGATGAAAATTGTCTAGAAACTGTAACAGAATCTCTATTCATTATCGGTGAAATAGATAGAAATCAATATCATTTAAGTTATCAGTGATATTCACTTGACAGTATAATTTATTAATGAATCAATAACCTAGAGTATCCTGTCTGTGGAGAGCAGGAATTAGGAACAAAATGTCATAAATATCATTATGTAACAAACACAATTATGTTAATGGCACCTAACAATAAAGTAATGAAGAGGTAAGCAAAACTAAATATAAGTAATTGAATAAACAATCTGAAAGATATATTAACTGCATGAAACAGCTTCAATTCCGCGTAAAAAGGGGTTGTCCACTGATCCAAATCAACACAGTAAGAAACATTACTGCCTAACACTCCAACTTGCCACACTTCATATCACCACTCCACTTATGGAAGGAAAGTCACAATCATACAATGCTACACTATGCACCTACAAATAATGTTGATCAAGAAAAGAAGGTGGAATACTACGTGCAACTGCAGTTATTACAGGACAAGACTCCAGTTGGCGACATCAAAATTCTAATGGGTGGGGTGACATGAATGCCAAACTGGGAGCGGACAACACAGGAAGAGAACCAATCATGGGTCGAGAAGCACTCGATGAAATGATGACTGAGAATGTAGAACTGTTTGCAGATTTCTGCACATTCAACCATTTAGTGATTGGAGGCAGTGTGTGTACAAACACAAGGAATATTCACAAGGCAGCGACATGGATTCGATTTCACCAGATGGACACATTCAACTGAAAATCAGATCGACTTCATCTCAATGTGAAGAGAGTGGAGACGCAGTCAGCCTACTGGACACAAGATCAGATCAAGGGAGGGGAACAGATGTAGGTTCACACCACTCACACCACTATCCAGTGCAAGCAATCTATCTTCAAAATCAAATTGAAAGCCTTTACAGAAGTTGGTGATAGGCCACAGTTCAAGTTGGACACCCAAAACAGAAACTGAGGGACGAAACTACAAGGGACATATACACATCAGTCAGCCATCAGAACAAAATAGGAGACATTGAGCAACATCCCTGAAGAAACCTGTGTGGATAAACACTGGAAATCTTTGAAAGCTATGTGGAAAGAAATCTGCATAACCGTATTAGGAAGGAAGAAGAAAGAAGACATGACAAAGAATGGATCACGGTGGACACATAGAAGCTAATAGAGAAGGGAGAGGAAGATGGTGAAGCAACAGATGAACCAATGCAGTGCAAGGATGAACAACGAAAAGTGGAACTGAACACAACATATAAAACACTACAGTGGACAAAGAAGTGAAGAGGAGTACACGGAAAGACAAAAGGCACTTCTACGACACATTGGCAAGGGGAGCAGAACAGGCTGCTGGTAGGAGAGACCTGACAACATTGTATCAAATGACAACGTTACTATCTGGGAGGGAAGAGATCAACGCAGATGAAACCGATAAAAGGTGATGAAGGAAATCTAGTTATCAAAGAGGAGAAACAAACGAAACGATGGGCTGACCACTTCAAGAAGCTCTTGAATCGACCACCATCACCCCCTGCAACTCTTCTAGAAATACCACCAGCAACCTAGCCACAGAACTATCAGTGAACGAAAGCACTGCGTCGAAAGCAGGAGTGAAGTTCTGAACACCATACAGCTACTGAATGTGGGAAAGCAGCAGGATTAGATGGGATCCCAGCAGAAGCACTGAAAACAGACGCAGGGACAACGGCGGACATGCTCACACTACACCACTACTTCAGAAGGTCTAGAAGGAAAGAAAGGTACCTGTCGACTGACTGGAAGAAGTGCTACCTTATCAAACTCCCAAAGAAAAAAAGGGCGACCTAAGTCTTCGCAGGAACTGGCGCGGAATCATGCTCCACTCCTGTCCACACCAAGCAAAATATTAAGCCGCATCATCCTGGAGACATAGACTAAAAAATGCTCTGGATTCAAAATTATGACCGGAACACGCTGGCTGGCTGGCTGGCTGGCTGGCTGTCTTCAAGAAGAACAAATCATGTGCAGATAAAATTTCAACGCTACGCTGCGCATCATCATAGAACAGAGCATAGAATCACTGGCAGTCAACTCTCTACCTCAACTTTATCGACTTTGAGAAGGCGTTTGACAGTGTCGATGGAGAAGTAATTTGCCAGGCAACTGCTTCAACACTACTGTTTCAGTGCCATAAACCTTTATCAACCTCATTCAACAGCTGTATGACGACGCCACATGCCTGTCAAGTAATTCACAATGGGAAGCTCAGTGCTTTGAAGGAAAGACAGGAGTGAAACAAGACTGTCTACTATCACCCATGATATTCTTGATTGTGGTCGACTGGAACATGCACCAGACAACTGTGAGGAATAAGAAGAGGAGGATACGCTGGACCGGGAAAAGATACTAGAATATTTGGATTTCGCCGATGACTTATTTCTAATGTCACACAAACTCGAAGATCTACAGGCGAAAACTAACAAGTTGACAGGAGAGGCAGCGAAGACAGGACTTCAAGTGAATGTAGAGAAGACAGAGGTGATGAAGATACCGCACCAACAACAACAACAGGCTCGAATCACTATCGACGGGAGAAACTTAAAGGAAGTAGTCTCTTTCACCAACCTAGGTAAGGCAGCACTGTTTCAACTAAAGGCGGCACAGACGAGGCCGTCAAAGTCAGGATCGGAAAGACAGCAAGACAGGAGTTCATTAACCTGAAACCAGTGTGGAGATCTACACTCAGCATAAAGTGTGAACAACATCCGGATTTTCAACACTAAGTCGGTCAAGTCAGTGCTTCTGTATGGTTCAGAGACTTGGCACGTTACGAAAAGCATTTCCAACAAACTACAGTTATTCATCAACAACTGCTTACGCTCGTTGCTGGAAATCAGATGGCCAGAAAGAATAAGCAACAAGGAATTTACTCTGGGAACGAACCAATCAAGAACCTATCGCTCAACAAATATGCAGAAGGAAGTGGAGATGGATTGGACCAGGCATGCGCTGAGAAACTATTCGGGGACATCACGCACCAGGTCAGGCACTCGAATGAAACCCAGATAGGAAAGGGCGAGTTGAGCGTTCCAGCTGAGGGTGACATGGAGGAGATCATGTGAGGAAGAAATGACAGCTTTTGGGTTGTCGTGGAGCTAGGTTGAAAAGATTTCAGAGAACACAGTGGAATGGAGACGTGCTACTGAAGCCCTATGTTCCACTAGGAACCCAGGGACAAATAATAATAATCTGGAAAAGTGGAATCGAGCATGAGTCATAACCAAGTGAATCCAAGTTGAACGCTTCATAGAAGGAAACATATTCTTATATAACATTGGAATGGCTCACACTATCTTGAAGTTCAATCCCAGAGGAAGCTGGATTTAGTTGGAATAGGATTCACGGTGACCAGACTAAATTGTCTTCTGAGACGTGTGGAAAAATGTAGACTGCGTGGCTGAAGTCCTCAAGAAGAAAGGAATCAGTAACTGAGGTCTGACACTTGGTGATATGGTTGAAAATCGGTCATAATGGTGGTACAGCTGTATTCACTTCCATACAACTTTGTCTACCTTTCTTTTCTATCCGCTTGTTCATTGTGTGCTACTGTGAAGTGTGTCAACTTGAATGGATGTAGTTGTGCGTAAGGTTCCTCATCTATTCTGTCTATCTGCCTGCCACACACATACACACACACAGACAGAGAGACTGGTAACAACTTTTTCAAGACAATAAACATTTGAACTTACTTTACGTTGTTCAGCTAAAAGACGTTGATTCATCAATTGGTTTCTTTGACTTGCTGCAGCCTGTTGACTAGCTAAAGCAGCAGCTACAGCCGCTTTATTAATACTAGCAGAACTACCACCAACAGCATTACGCTGAACAGTATTACTTGGCTGCGGTGAATAACCTGACCATATAGTTCGAGTAGTGACCAACGCTGTTGATATTAAAATATAGGAAAGAGTAAAACAAAAATTCAAAGACAAAACAGTAAAGACAATAGAAAAAGCAATGAAGTATATATATATATATATATATATATATATATATATATATATATATATATATATATAATGTACTTTAATGAGATGTAATAGTAATACCAAAGTGCATATAGCGATTTTATCACCAATACTCAAAAAAAAGAACAGTAATCTCTGAGTTTTATATAAAAGGCGTACATAATATGAGTAGAACAAATGAGAGAGAGGGGGGGGCAGGGGGGGAGAAGAGGAAGACTTGAAAAAGTGATTGACGTTTGTAAATTTTTCTGAAAATTTAAATGACAATTGATATGAAATTGTAGACTTTGCAGAATGGATAAACAAACAAAAAGAAGAGAAAAAAGAACCCTACGAAATTGGAAAACTGAAATTAACAATGAAATCTAATAGAATGAATAAAAGTGATATGGTGAATCTCTTTTTATTTTCACACAACAATAAACTGAATTTAATCTCAACTGTTACATATACAGATGAGAATAGTAATTATCATTTATGAAAATTTCCTAAATGATCCCTTCAACTGTATAGGGAAGTTAGGTATTTTTTGATTCAGTGAAATTGTAGGTCATTGGTTTAGGGAGATGATTTTCAACCAATGGGTGGTAGGTTCAAGCCTCGCTCCACCTAACGTCGTTCTAGTTTGGGGCAGCTATGTAGTACATATCTACAACTTCTATGAGAAGTGAACTCAGGACCTTCAGGTTACACGGCCAATCAGTCACTGGGTCGGAGTTCAATTAATTACAGTTTCTTAGTTCTGACGCTTCGCAATGATTCTCCAACTGGTGTCATTCTGTGATGAATACTACCTTGAAACAAATAAAATCTGCATTAACCCCAAACTACACTAATGTATAGTGTTCATTACTGAAATGCTTCCAGATGGATATGCCGAAGTTCTAATGAGAACCTGTAACCTGTGGGGATCAACCAGTAAGAAGTAAAGCGGATGCCAATTGAAGACTATGTCGGATAGTCACGTTATATTGCGAATTCACAGAGGTAGGAGACTGTGAATCAGTGGATTTCGACACCATGACTGCATGGTTAACGCGTTCACCGTGAAACAATCCCTAACCGGGTCGCGGATGTGTACTGCTGAGCTATTTCATACTAGAACGAAACAGCTGCTTTCCAGTATCCCTAGGTTTTCAACGGTTCTCCAACTGATGTCAGTCTGTGATGAATACTACCTTGGAACAAATAAAATCTCCACTAACTTTACAATTATTTTATTCGCATGCATGCACTTTAACTTCCATAACTAAGGTATTACCAATCCATCTGGATTTAGCTATTAAAGCAATAGATAATACTTTGATACAGAACCAAGACAGATAGTTAAGACAGCTTAACTATAGAAGTCAAGTCGACGACGAGGATCAGTGTAAAACTTGCTATTTTCGAGCACTCTATTTTTATGGATTGGACAGCAACCGTCTCATCCTAGTGAATGGTTTCTCAGAGGTCCACAATCATAACCTGGCTAGGGCTCGAACTCAGGATCTTCGGGTTCTGCACTCAGTACAGTGCCATCGAACCATCACGTCAGAATCCAATGATCAATATTTCCAACTTCTGTCAGTTCACGATTTCGTGTGATCTTCATCTAATGCCGTCGTTGAATGACTTTCCTCATGTTCGACTTGATTGACCCCACCGCTCGTGACTTCTCATTATAACTTCGAGAATCAACTCTCGAGGCGAGTTACCAATGAGAACTAGATTAGTTTAATTCAGAGGTTAGTGGGGATTTATTTGTTGATTTCAAGTTGGTATTCATTATAGGCTGATATCAGTTAGAGAAAAATTGGAAGCTTGGGAGCACTGGACGGACAGCTATTTCGTCTTAGTATTGGACTCCTCAGCAGTGCTCACCAATGACGCCACCAAGAACTTTGTCACAGAAAATAAGGAAAGCCTTTCTATTTACTACTCTATGCCTAACCTGTCTAACTTTATAACCCAAATACTCACTCATAAACCATTGAAATGGAAATAGAAGTAAACAAATTTATACATATTTAAACACTCAAATGTAACCAGCTATGTATGACGTGTATTGAAAGGAGAACAGTAAAGCGTTAATAAAAATCCATTTCATAAATTTTTCTTCGAAATTGTGTTCAAGTATTCTTACTTTATTAGTCTTCTCCATTAATTAGTCAAGTTGGGAATCAACTAAGACAATCTGTTGAATGTTGGTGACTGACACTCGATATCTGTGCATCGTTAGAGGCCACAGCGTATAGCAGTCCTCCAAACCAAAACAGTGGTGACGGGGATAAGATGGATTCACCGAAGTTGGACAAATCCGTAGAACAAAAAATGAAGATTATCGAGACTATCTTCAAAGTGGATTCCGCTGGTAAATATGATTCCTGGAGGATGCCTCTCCTACTTCGAAAGCTTGGTCCACATGAGCTTGACTAGTACTGCAGCATGATTTCGTCGCAAAACCCACGTGATCGCACTCAAAACGCCACAGTCCAGACACTGAATAACATGTCTGCGGAATTTCAACCACTGGGAAACCTGCAGCGTGATACCAATTTAGTCCAGTCCGGACACCAGGGTGGTTCTGAAGTATATACAGTTCACCAGATATCTCATTCCTCTGTATCACCCACTGGCCACACACATCCTGGACTTATCTCACCAGCTCATCGGCCCAGCAACTCACGCGATACCGACCGATTCTCTCGAAGAAGACACCTCCATCGACTTGGCATTTCGTCAAATCATGTCCACCTAAACAATACCAATGCCGGGACTGTAATGCTGGGGGGCCATAAGGACGGTTTTTACCGCCAACACACACAACGATGTGTACACAAAGCTCATCCTCCAGATATCACCGTGGATCTCATTTTCGAACGTCTCATGCACCTGCCCACTGAAAGAACATCGAGAAGACTACTGATCCCCCCAGTGAACAAGGAGAAACTCCCTCTGCGTCGATCAGATAGATGGAAGAAAAAGACAGTGCGGCCCAGTCTGACCCCAAATAACATTCTTTCGAAGAGGGAGGTGATATGGGGATAGAGAGAAATGACTAGTCTGGAGAGGGACTAATCAAAATGTGTTTTATGTTATCGCGTCTACAGTTAACCAGACAGACAAACGACGGATCAACCAACCAATAGGATAATTCTAAGCAGTGAACTATCTATATATAAGCTATATTTTCCTTTATTTTGGCCTTTCAGTCTTTCGACTCCAATACACGTTTCTACACGTCCATCGTGTATTCTCCATTAATTAGTCGAGTCAGGAATCAGCTAGGAATCTGTTGAATGTTGGTGGCTGACACTCTATATCTGTGCATCGTTAGCGGCCATAGCATATAGTAGTCTTCCAAATCATAACAATAAGCGTGTGATTACACATCTCATGGTTTCGGGTCGAATGTAGACAAAGATGATGGAACAATTGGAATCATCGTTTCAGTTCTAGTCACTTCAGTTCACTCGTGATATCGCAGACAATATTACAGCATATGAAAATTACTGGGATAGGATGATATAAGAGGTGACTAGGACACTGGATTTTATCCAACATAAGATGAATCTATTGACTGTATAACGGTTTCCATGTGTTTCAAATACACGCCAGCAAGTATTGCCATAGGATGACCAATCCTACATATATAGCGTAATTGAACATCCTTAGTTTGGAGAAGATAGAAGAGAATTAATTGCCCCACATAACTATATATATATATATATATATATATATATATATATATATATATATATATATATATATATGTTTTAGACTTGATGTATAGTATAGTTTAGATGAAGAAATGATTTGAAATGTAAATCTGTATAGTTTCATGATTCTTGGTTGAATGTATTACAAGCAAAAGCAGAGCATAGATGTACCTTCCGATTCCGATCACCTTTTTAACTGTTGGGATACTCGTCTGGTTATTTTATATATATATATATATATATATCATTGTGACTGATTTTCAGGTATGTCACCAAGAGTCATCTGTCAACCACTGATTCCTTTCGTCTCAAGGACCCCAACTAGGCAGTCTACATTTTCTCACATGGTTCACATCAACAGTGAGACATTTCATCGACTAGAGCCACTTCTTCATCTGGTCACCTTGAACTCTTTTCCAACCTAATCCAGCTCCCCCTAGGATGAAACGTCGAGGTAGGCGGTGGATCGGTATGTGCAGCTAAGTACATGTACAGATCACCTATCTCAGTCGACTAAGGTTCACAACCTCATCAACTGATTTGTCTTTCATGCCTAGTACCTTTCACCCGACCTCAGCATTGTTCACATAGTGATTCTATCAAATACGAGCAAAGCACCGAAGACACACGTGTGACCGCTTCACATCTTTTAATTTTAACGACCATATCTCACATGAGAAGGGTTCAGGTATTTGATGACCGCTGCCTTCGTAGTATAGGCCGTATTCCATGGTGTCAGCACGTAATGCAAAAGTCAGATGTAGAGTTTTAAGGAGAAGAGGTAAGTCAGTTGATGCGGTCGTGAACCTTCATCGACTGACATGGCTGGCTGGGACATATGTTACGCGTGCCTAGTCATTGTCAGTCTCATCTCATAATATAGCCAGAAGTAGGTTGAGGCTCGTAAAACGCTTTGGGCTTTCAACTAGACTGAAAAGTGATATCAATACATGAAGTCGTTGACTGTTGGTTTGAGCCATGTAGGGTGATGCAAACAAGCCTGTTGGAGCCCACGGGACACGAGAACCCAGTGGTTGGAGACTAACTCTAGATGATATAGCTGGAAATCGATGTCAGTGGCGCAGATATATACACACACCTTATTCTCATCTTAACCGCTATACTTCATCCCATCATCTCGTTCCTCTCTCTTCTCGTTTACTACTATGTACTCCTTTTGTCCGAGTTTTCTTTCCTTCTTCACCTTTCATTTTATTGCCTTATTACTTGATGTGATTAGATGAAATGTGGTAACTTGAACCATTATGCAGTCAGTAATGTCTGGTCCTATATTGATGATGATCTCACGGCCATACAACAGGACAGAACGAACTCTTCTTCGTAGTATGAAAAGTATTACTTCGCTAAATAAACCAACATACTTCATAATCTTCTGTGTAATTAAGAATAAAATACCTGTGTTACCGATATGCAGTAGAAGGAAGTGGAGATGGATTGAACCAGGCATGCACTGAGAAGACTATTCGGTGACATCACGCACCAGGTCAGGAACTCGAATGGAACCCAGATGGGAAACGGCGAGTGACATGGAGGAGATCATGTGAGGAAGAAATGAAGCTTTTGGGCTGTCGTGGAGCTAGGTTGAAAAGATTTCAGAGAACACAGTGGAATGGAGACGTGCTACTGAAGCCCTATGTTCCACTAGGAACCCAAGGGACAAATGGTAATAATAAACCAATAGCTGGTAAACCGTCATTTATAAACAACTGAAAAGTATTATAGGAATGAGTAATATACAAGTAGAATAAACTTGGAAATAATCAGAGGAAAAAGAAAACACTTGAAAAAAACAAGTAACAACTCAAAAAGCAATATAACAATTACCTGAGTTATTATCAAGAGGTGAATGCTTCGATATTATCTTTTCATCATTTCGTGAAATAGAACACTCCAGTAGATTATTGCATGATGTAGAAGTATTGTTATTCGAAATGATAGAATAGCTAGAAAAATCTGTTGTAGTATTCAATGTTGTGTATGTAGATTTGTCAGAAACTAAGCCTTGTTGAAGTTGTTCACAGATACGTGCTACAGCCTTAGCATCATTCTGCCAATTAACTTCATTTCGATAAGTCAATTCACCATCATTAATTACATTATCACCATCTAGAGTTTGATGTTCAGAGATTGAAGTAGATGAGGAGAATCGAGATCGTTTAGAACAAGGTGATTCACTTATATATGAAGTAGAATTAGTTGTATCACATGGATTATAAGATGATTCTGGTTTTGGATGATTTCGTTCCAACTCATCACGTCGTAGTATTTCACATAAAATTTCCACCTCTTCAGCAATCTCCTTTGATGAAGCAGAAGGATGTCGCTTCGGTGGTAATAGGAGTAATGATGATGGTGAAGAGGTACATGGATTTTTTTCTAACACCTTATCATCAGAGTTAACTGTAGCCTCATGTATTAATTGTTGCAGATCATCATCATTCCATTCAACTGGAGCTATAGAATATGGTGTTACTGATTGACAACTAGACGTATTGATAGTTGATCCACTAATCCGCAGCTGTTCATCACATGAATGACTACTATCCGCAAATGAAGTAAATCGCATACTGTTCATGAGTAAATAAAATACATAAAAATATGAAAAATTAGCTCATTATGGAATCAAAATTCTAAAGTACAGGTAACAAGAAATAAAAGACTACTTGATAGAAATATAAAATGTAACTGATCAATTTAGAAAAGATGGAGGTTGAGTTGGAATCCTAAGTGGAGGGGGGAACCTCACCACTCACTTTGATCCATATATATCAATCTAATAAGTTCTAAGTATGAGGAACCTTATGTTCTGTATTTCGTTATTAACCATTATCAAATAAATGAGTGTATCTGCTATCAACTTAAAACTTTCCACCAAACCGGAGTACAGACAGACAGTAGATAAATGAAATCAACATTAAAACAACTGCATCCAACCACCTTGCTACATTTCAAAAAAAACAGGTGGATATTAAAAAAACTGATACCAAATTAGACAAAATTGTATGAGAGGAGAATAAACAATTTGAAGATAATGTTTAATGCAAATATTCAAGTTTTAGAAAACGTCAAAGGAGTGAATACGTCTATACCATTGTGACCGATTCTCAGCTATGTTACCTAGACTACTCAATCACTCATTCTTATCGTCTCGGAGATACCAAGTCAGGCTGTCTACATCTCTCTCCACATGATTACGACCAACACTCATGGACTTCATTGATTGGTACCACATCTTCGTCTAAACTCTCTTCTAACCTAATCTAACCCTAGTATCGTACGGTTGAGGTAAGCGGTGGCAAGCGCAACGCAGTACATGTCTAAGCTATCTTAGTCGACCAACAAGGTACACAACTTCACCAATCAACTTACCTGTCTTTTCTACTGCCCTTCCATCTGAGCTCAACATTTCTCAGATAGTGATTCCACTAAACGCCAGAAATGCTGCTATTTGGTCACATTCATAAATAAATGTTGTTTAAAGGTTTATGAATCTTCTGAAAACTTAGTCGTTGTGATGCCTCAGTTTTGTATCAAACATTGTTATTGATCTGAACATTTTAACGTGTCATTCCCATACCATTTTTTTACGGTATGGTATGACTAGTAGTCCTATTTTCTGCCCCCATTGTAATGAAATTCGCTGATTATTTAACCTTTACTCTTACTATGTACATATCTCAAATTGGGGACAAGGTCATTTTTCATGGGTGTACATATTCACGTGTTTTGGGATTGATTATTATTATATTCTCGGAACAATAAACTCTCCCATCATCCAGCTTCGGTCTTCTCTCTATTTGTCCCATGGTTGCAGTCAGTGCTTCTTGCGTACTAAGTTGGTGTCAGCTAAGCCTGCGTATTCTATTCATTCCGAATATATATAAAACTGTTGTCTTAGGAAAATGTAACATTAATATATTTCAAACTAGAGTTCTCTTAAATAGACAGTGTTGAGAGTAGAGCAAAACATAACAAATTACAATTATTATTTGTCTCTTGGGTTCCTAGTGGAACATCAAGCTTCACTAGCACATCTCCATTTCACTCTCTTCTCTGCAGTCTTCTCAACCTGGCACCACGACTGCCTACAACCTTTCATTTCTTCCTCACACCATCTCCTCCATGTCACCCTCACCTGGGACACCCAACTCATTGTTTCCCTTTGGGTTCCACTCGAGTGCCTGGCCTGACGCGTGATGTCCCCAGTCAGCCTTCTCACTGCATGCCCAATCCATCTCCACTTCCTTCTACATATTTGTTGGGCGATAGCTTCTTGGTTGGTTCGTTCCCAGAGTTCCTTGTTGCTTATTCTTTCTGGCAATCCATCTGATCTTCAGTAACGAGTCAGCGTAGGCAGTTGTTGATGAATGTCTGTAGTTTTGTTGGAAATGCCTTTCGTAACCAGCCAAGTCTCTCATCCACCACACAGAAGCACTGATTTGACGTTGATGTTGAAAATCCAGACTTTGTCCATGCTTTATGCTGAGTGCAGTGTAGAAGATCTCCACACTGGTTTCAGGTTAATGAAGGAAGGCCTGTCTTGCTTTTCCGATCCTGACTGGCTTTAGCATCCTCGTCTGTCCCGCCTGTAGTTGAAACAGTGCTTCCTAGATAGGTGAAGGAGGTTACTTCCTTTAAGTTTCTACCGTTTATGGTGATTGCAGTTTGTTGTTGTTGTTGTTGGAGATGTTGGTGCGGTATCTTCATCACTTCTATCTTCTTTACATTCACTTGAAGTCCCCTATCCCTTCGCTGCCCTGCCTCTTCTGTCAACTTGTTAGATTTCGCCTATAGATCTTCAAGTTTGTGTGACATCAGCAACAGGTGATCGGCGAAATCCAGATCTTCTAGGTCCTTTTCCCCAGTCCAGCCATTGTATCCCCCTCTTCTCGCTGCTCACTGTTTATTGCATGATCCAGTCGACCACAATCAAGAATATCATGGGTGATAGTAGACAGCCTTGTCTCACTCCTGTCTTTCCTTCAAAAGCATCACTGAGCTTCCCATTGTGAATTACTTGGCATGTGGCGTCTTCATATAGTTGTTGAATGAGATTCATAAAGATTTGCGGTATTCCGTAATGTTGAAGCAATTGCCAAATTACTTCTCGGTCGACGCTGTCAAAGGCCTTCTCAAAGTCGATAAAGTTGAGGTAGACAGTTGATTGCCATTCTATACTCTGTTCTATGATGATGCGAAGCGTTGCGTTGCAATTTGATTCGCACATGATTTGTGCTTCCTGAAGCCTGCCTGTTCGTGTCGTAGTTTTGAATCCAGTGCATCCTTTAGTCTCTCCAAGATAATGCGACCTAATATTTTGCTTGCTTTGGGTAGACAGGAGTGTGATTCCGCGCCAGTTCTTGCAAACACTGAGGTCTCCCTTCTTCAGAAGTTTGACAAGGTAACCCTTCTTCCAATCAATGCACAGGTACCTTCCCTTCCTTCCTCACCTTCTGCAATAGTGGTGTGGTGTGAGCATGTCCACTGTTGTCTCTGCGTCTGTTTTCAGTGCTTGTGGCGGAATTCCACCTTCTGGTCCTGCTGCTTTCCCACATTTCAGTAGCTTTATGGCGTTCAGGACTTTCATTTTTGTTGGAGGATTTATGTTCACTTGTAGTTCAGTGGCCGGGCTGCAGGTGGTATTTCTCGACGAAGTGCAGGTGGAGATGGTGGTGGTGGTCGATTCAAGAGCTTCTTGAAGTGGTCAGCCCATTGTTTCCTTTGTTTCTCTTCTTTCGTAATTAAATTTCCCTCATCATCTTTTATTGGTTTCGTCTGCGTTGATCTCTTCCCTGATAGATAGTAACCTGGTTATTTGATACAATGTTGTAAGGTCTCTCCATCCGGCAGCCTGTTCTGCTTCCCTTGCCAATGTGTCACAGAAGTATCTTTTGTCTTTCCGTGCACTCTTCTTCACTTCTTTGTCCAGTGTTGTGTTTTATACATTGTACTCAGTTCCTCTTCTCATCATCCATCCTTGCACTGGTTTATCTTCTGCTTCACCATCCTCCTCTTCCTCCTCTATCAGCTTCCATGTATCCATCGAGATCCATTCCTTATCTTCTTTCTTCTTCCTTCCTAAAATGGTAGTGCAGGTTTCTTCCCACATCTCTTCCAATGTTCTTCCACACAAATTTCTTCAGGGGTGTTCTTCGATATCTCCCATTTTGTCTTGATGGCTGACGTGAAGATTTCCTTTGTAGTTTCATCCTTCAGTTTCCCAGTGTTGTACTTGAACTGCGGTCTATCATCAGCTGCCTTGAAGGCTTTCAACTTGATTTTGAAGAAACTAGGCTCCTTGCACTAGATAGTGGTCTGAACCTACATCGGCTCCTCTTCTTGACCTTGTGTCAAGTAGGCTGCGTCTCCATCTCCACTTTCTTCACATTGAGATAAAGTCGATCTGATTTTTGTTGTGTCCTGGTGTCTGGTGAAATCCATGTCGCTTTGTGGATATCCTTGTGCTTGAACACACTGCATCGCCTCCAATCACCAAGTCGTTGAATGCACAGAATTCTGCAAACAATTCCCCATTCTCATTCATTTCACCTAGCGCTTCTCGGCCCATGGTTAGTTCTCTTCCTGTGTTTTCTGCTCCCAGTTTGGCATTCATGTCACCCCACCCACTAGAATTTTGACATCCCCAACTGAGCCCTTGTCCAATGTTGATTGAAGTTGTCTATAGAATTCCTACATTTTCTCTTGCTCTGTATTATTTGTAGGTGCATAGTGTAGCATTTATGATTATGACCTTTCTTTCTTTTGAGTTGAACCTTGCTGTCATGATCCTGCAGGAGGAGATTGGTTCCCACTGCATGAGGGCCTTCGATGCTGTTGGGGACATCATGATAGCCACTCGAGAACTCAGTGTGCTTTGCTCGTGGTTGTCGTCTGGGTGATAATATTGGAGTAGATTATTGATCCTCCAGTTGGCAGTCTGGAGAGTCCACTTCCATTCCACCTGCTTTCGCAAATTCCTAGCACTTCAATGCTATACCTTCCCATCTCGTTTGCAATATGAGCTGCCTTGCTGGGTTCAAACATGGTGCGGACATTCCATGTGCCCATGTTTACTTTCGCTTGCATCGAGAGAGAGAAGACACAGGGGCCAATTGGCTTCCCTAAGGCAGGCTTTCACCAACCGGCGTCATTTCGCCTCTCTGATTCCAGTGAGGAGTAATTTTGTTTTTATTTTTTATATTTTGTTTGTGCTGTGAAGTTTCTTTAGCGGTTAGATTTGTTTTACGGGGTAGGGTTGCTATCCGTATGCCCAACCTTCCCTTTTTACACGGGCTTAGGACTGGCTAGTAACTAGTGAACTAGTTAACCAGGCGACGTATGCCAAGAAGATAATGGTGGTCAAACACCAGAAACCTCATATCTTCCACCTTCAATGGACATATTTCACAGCCATACAGTAGAACAGAGTGGACTGCATCACAAAACACTCGACTCTTAATAGACGATCAGATATCATGGCGACGCCACATTTGGGCTGATCCGACTTCCCAGGTAAGTGAAGTGTTCAGCGCAGGCAACCACTATACTCTCTATTGTTAGTCTGGGTACAACAGAAGACCAGTCCTGGAGCAACAATTTAGATCTGGGTGGTGAGAAACATCCCAAACATTGGTAAATTGCCACTCAAAATGTTCAGAAGACTCTGCATCACGTCAGTGTCTACCAAAAATTCTCCTGTGGTTAGGTTAGTCCCTGTGAAGTCAGATGACGAGAGGGAGTTCTCCATAAAAATATCTATGATAAAATTGAATAAGAATGAAGACAGTGGGTATCCTGGGCGCACACTACTTGACGTACACAGCTCATCCGACATCACACAATAGGCTCTAATACGGCTATGCAGCGCGGTATACTCGATTCTCAACCTTAATAGGCGACTCAAAATCACACTAGTATCGAAGATGGCCTAAGTTGGTGAAGGTCAAGTCAACCTTTTGTATTCCTGCGAAGATTTCATTGATCACTGACATATCAGGACTGATTCGGTTTATTGCTAAAAAGGCACAAAAAAAGATCCGTACTAGAACAATAATATGCACTTCGGTGGTGGGAAACACTAGCCAAATATTCTCGAATTGACAATCAAGGTATCCAGGAGACTATGGATCTTCACATAATAATGACTACGTAATCTGTGTAGTCTAGATCCACCAAGGAGACTTTTATAATAAGAAAGATCCCTCTCAATCAGACAACACCTCCAGAAGTATGCCTATGATAAAGTTGAGTGAGAATGGAGGGAATGGATACCACTCAATGTGTACAATTTACCGTAAGCTCTGACAAGTACAAATGTTCAAGGACGGAGCTAACTAGGCATCTCTGTTTCAGTGACAGACGCTACTATAATGCCTCTCAAACAGACGGGGACGAATGTCGCTTTCAGATCGAGAAATACAGCGTATGAGATACCTGGGTTTTTTTTAATTTTCTGTTTCGAAGCTGCACTCAGTCATCTAATAATAATAGAACCTAAAATTTCAGACACTATACCGATCAGACGAATCCTCCATAATTGTCACAAGAGAATTTATCGCCTTTCTCGAAGACTGGGACAATAAGCGATTAGGACTAGTCAGATGAGATCATATCTGACTCCCATATAACAGCTAACATGACTAAAAATCCTCAACCAACCTCCGTACATACCTCAGGAACTAGTCCGTCTGGTCCTGTAAACCTTCCTGATTTCAAGTTAACTACCGCTTCTGCAAGTGTTGAGGGGCTATCTTAATGTTCCATTCAGACTCCAATTGGATAATCGGCAAGGAAGTAGTAACTGAAGGCCGGCTGAAGTGTTCATCAGAGTGTTCCGCCAATTGTTACAGTCATCTTCTCTGAGACTGAACCACAAACCCATCCTTTACCACTACTGTTTCACAAACCAATGATCTTTCGACCCAGCTTCCTTAATAAGTTTAAACAACTATCCACTGTTACCTATCGCAGCTGCCTTTTTCATCTCTTAAGCCTTCACTACCCACCATTATTCGCAGTCATTGCGTAGACCTTTTTTCAGTTTACATTTGAGTTTCACTCGCTCTTCATTGTATTCAGAGTCTTCGGGGATGCGTTCGCGTACATCAACTAAGTCTGAAGAAGCAGCTGATATCCACTGGCTTTTCTTAACCACTCTGTGAGAGTCGGCTACAGTCTTCAATGCTATTTTTACAGTAGACTGGAAATGGCACCAAGCTTCTTCTGGATAAATGATAGTCATCTGTTCCAATAACTACTTAGCCAATTTTTCACTGAAAGCGACCTTAGTGTTCTCATTATCGAGATGCACTCGTGATGCTCTGGGTGATAAAGTTTCCCTGCGTCCACTGAGACGAAAACATACACGCGCTCGAACCAATGCATGGTTCCTGTCCAAGCACATGGCTCCAGAAGAAGAGGCAGTCTACAGCGATAACGTATGGTGGTGTAGTCCATCTGTGTTCTCCCCTGAGCTGAGCGTGGTGGATACCACGTTGGCTAATGTCTCCCTTCATGTCTGGAGTTTGGGCTGATTAGAAATAAATTAACTCAGCACAGTTGTAGCAGGTGATTACCGATTTCTGTTCCTTCGGGTGGGATTCCGAAAATGTCACCTAAATGCCTTTCTGTCTGACTGAGTCCACGTATTTGTACATTGAAATCACCTGCAACAACTACCACGTCTGAGCGCTTAGCTTTCAGTAGGAGGTTAGACAGGTTTCGGTAGAACTCATCCTTCTTTACATCCAAACTCCAAGCATTGGGTGCGTAAGCAGAGATTACGACGAGACATTGTTCTCTTGAGTCTTCATTCCAACACTCAGTTGAACAGCGCCCAGACAACCACAAACTGAGGTCTACACGAGAAGTGCACTTTCCAGTTCAGCACTTAATGCTACACCACCAAGAACGCCAAAACCATCTAATTTCCAGAAATGCAAAGGGTGAATTATGAAGTATCGCTATATTATCCAGGCGACTTCATGGGAAAAACTACGGACACGACATATGTTGATGGTCCGAGATACCGCAATTAAGGCTGACGAAGTTTGTTGATCGATTTTAAGGACGGTGTGAATACAATGTAGCTTAGGTGCGGATTCAGGTAACGAAGGATGATCTTTTGTGAACTTGAATTTGTATAGAAAGCATCAGAGCAGGGAGAAATAAAAGAAATGAGGTAAGAATATTCACCGTGAGATGTGAAAAAAATTAGAGGGTGGAGCTGTTGAAGGCAGTTATTCATCCGGAGGAAGTTGAGTGTTGATTGGATTGTATAGGAGATTGATAATTTGTAGTTAAACAAACTGTGGAAAGTTACGAATTCTTGAACCACGACTGCCAAGTCCATGAGTATCTTCTTGAGGTCAGTTACAAATGACCTGTTTCGAAGTTTCAGGTTTAGCTTGGATTGATTTACATTCAACTAGAAAACAGAAATTAACCAGTCTTCTGAGCATCTTGAATGGCGATATGAGAATGTTTGGGATGTGCTTGTCACCACCCAATGGAGATTGTTGCTTTGGGATTGGTCTTCAACGGTGCACCACCATGGCTGACAATAGAGAGTGTAGTGGTTGAGTGTGTCGACTACTTCAGTTACCTGGGTAGTCGGATCAGTCCTACGATGGTGGCTCAGTTGCCTATGAAATCTCTGTACGAATACAAAAGGCTGAGTTGGCTTTCGCCAACTTAGACAACCTGTGGCATCGCCTTGATATGCGTTTGTCCATTAAGGGTCGCGTGTACTGCACCTGCACAGCACTCCCCTCTCTTCTACTCTCTGGCTGTGAAACATGACCATCGAAGGTGGAAGACATGAGAAGGCTTGAAGTGTTTGACCACCGTTGCCTTCGTAGTATAGACCAGACCAGACCAGACCAGACCGTATTCCGTGGTATCACCACATGAGTAACACACAAGTCAGGTGTAGAGTTTTAGGGAGATGAGGTAATTCAGTTGACACGATTGTGAACCTTCATCGACACGTGTTACGCATGCCTGGTCGCCGATTACCTCGTCACACAATGTTGGTCGAAGTAGGTTCAGGCTGGAGAGCGGGTGAGTATGGCCAGACTAAAACATGACATGGCATGAATGTATGAAGTGTTTGACTGTTGGTTTGAGTCATGTGTGGTGATGTAGACTAGCCGATTGGGGTCGATGGGACAAGAGGAAGGAGTAGTTGGAGACTGACTGACTGTATGTGATCATCACATGGTTGAGAACCGATGTCAGTGGTTAAGATGTATGCACACACACATTATCCTCATCTTAACGACGCAATACCGAATCTCACCATTTTCTCATTCTTCCTCTTTCTCTCTCTTTGAGTAGTTTATATTTGTATTGATTGAATTTTGTTTTCTTCATGTTGCAGTTCACTGCCTTTTTACTTGATGTGGTGATATGAAGTGTGGCAAGTTGGAGTGTTAGACAGTAATGTCTCTTCCTATGTTGATATTGATGATGATGATGATGTAGGATGAAGGATAGAGGTGTTGTGTTCGCATGTTATTGCCTCATGATTCTCTAGATGAGTCCAGGAGATCATACAACATAGTAGTTTGTTAAATACAGTAACCCATTATAACAAGTTCCACTTTTATGTTCCAGGTTGTGTGCCACAACTATAGAGTGACGTTGTCATGATACTTAATGATTCCTAAGGCTGAAGTAAGGAAAGTGGCTTTAGGTATAAACGATTGTAAAATCCCAGTGACTTTAGACGTTACCAGACCAGCTAGAGTTGAGAATCGAAACCAGATATGATCATACACACTAAAGCTCTCTTCTTACCTTCTGTTTTTGAAAATTAAAAGGAAAAAAGTAGAAAATTCTTCTCCATAAAAAAGCTAACAACTTACTCATCCTTCAAAGATGTACCAAATCTTTGTTCTTTGGATTCAGTGCTATGACAATATGATATTTCTGAGACTTGAGCATTTGCTACAGCATCAGATATTTCCTCTGGTTCCAATTGAGCATCTAATAACAATCGACACAAACTGGATTGTACAGGAACTGAACCTCCAGAATTTATATTACTTGCCTTAGTTCCTCGTACGGGAAATGTATCTTTACTTTCAATGCTAGATTTTACAGTAGATGGAACTGATGTAGACCATGAAGATAAGATCGACGATACTTCCATGTTATTACGATCTGAGAGTGGTATATGTTTACCAGAAGAAGTAGTAATAGTAGTAGAAGAAGAAGAAGTAGCAGTAGTAATACTAGTAGTAGTAGTAGTAGCAGCAGCAGTCGTAGTAGTAGCACAATTTGAACTCATGTGAACATCTAAGTAAACAAATTTTAAAAAAAAGGCACAAATCACGCTCGATTAATACTTCCGTAAAACAAACAATACACTAAAATATTAATTATAAGGCTCGTCATAACCATGCAGAAACAAAAATACCCATCAACTGCAGCGACCCGTTAACTTCCACCGCGGATTTCTAGAGTATTATATCACGAAATATATTGAATATTATACTCTAGTCGACAGTAATATCAAGATTTTGATGAGTCCAAACCAGTAAAACAAATAATATAAGTTCAATTTCGAGGTTTGTGTCATCACCATCAATATCAACATAGGAAGAGACATTACTGCCTAACACTCCAACTTGCCACACTTCATATCACCACATCAAGTAAAAAAGCAGTGAACTGCAACATGAAGAAAACAAAATTCAATCAATACAAATATAAACTACTCAAAGAGAGAGAAAGAGGAAGAATGAGAAAATGGTGAGATTCGGTATTGCGTCGTTAAGATGAGGATAATGTGTGTGTGCATTCATCTTAACCACTGACATCGGTTCTCAACCATGTGATGATCACATACAGTCAGTCAGTCTCCAACTACTCCTTCCTCTTGTCCCATCGACCCCAACCGGCTAGTCTACATCACCACACATGACTCAAACCAACAGTCAAACACTTCATACATTCATGCCATGTCATGTTTTAGTCTGGCCATACTCACCCGCTCTCCAGCCTGAACCTACTTCGACCAACATTGTGTGACGAGGTAATCGGCGACCAGGCATGCGTAACACGTGTCCCAACCATGCGAACTCAGTCGATGAAGGTTCACAATCGTGTCAACTGAATTACCTCATCTCCCTAAAACTCTACACCTGACTTGTGTGTTACTCATGTGGTGATACCACGGAATACGTCTGGTCTGGTCTGGTCTGGTCTGGTCTGGTCTGGTCTGGTCTGGTCTGGTCTATACTACGAAGGCAACGGTGGTCAAACACTTCAAGCCTTCTCATGTCTTCCACCTTCGATGGTCATGTTTCACAGCCAGAGAGTAGAAGAGAGGGGAGTGCTGTGCAGGTGCAGTACACGCGACCCTTAATAGACAAACGGATATCACAGCGGCGACGGAGGTTTTTATGGATTTATTTATTGATTTCAGTTTGGTATTCATCGTGAACTAACATCAGTTGGAGAAACAATGGAAACCTTGAGGGCACTGGGCAGTTATTTAACGACAGCATTGGATGGAGGTTGTTCTATAGTGTGAGCTGACGGAAGTAGGAAATATGAACCATTGGATTCTGATCCAGTGTTGGCGCAACGGCAATGTGCTGGCCACGTAACCAGAACATTTGGGCTTCAACCTGTAGTGGGGCAGGGTGACGGGTGCACACTGATAACGAGACAGCTGCTGTCTAGTGCTCCCAAGTTTCCAATGTTTCCCCAACTTATGTCAGTTCATGAAGAATACAAACCTGCAATCAACAAATATGTCTTTAATAAGATATTTTGCTGTCCCAACAAAGGACAAAAACTAAACTTTAATTTTATTGAAAAGGCAAAATATTGATGTCAATCGATAAGGAAGTAGTCTTGGAAAATAAAGAAAAGACGAAGTGATGTCCATGACGTTAGAGAAGATGCGAAGACTATCCATTCAGATATATCGAGGGGGGGGGTATACTTCATAGCGAGTTTGAGGATTTTTGATGCAGTAACTTATGGATATCTTTGTCGACTAGCACAGCTATCAGTTATCTTTAAGATTACCCAAATTAAAACTCATTTCTTTTAATGATAAACAGTGATATCTACTATGAAGACTAAAGATCAATCAAACGAAAAAAATACACATTATACCCATCTTCTCATCCATGTAACCTATGATAACAAAAGAATAAAAAACAGATAGCAGAAATCACATGGATACTAGGCACTTAATTTACTTTTCATCAGATAAGATTAACAGTCGAACAACTGTGGTTTTGTTCTAGCCTAGAGTATCCTACCGTGTAAGTTATCAAAGTTAAGTCTCCCTCACCTGACTTAAAAGATATCGATCGCGTTGTAAGAGTTTCGACAGAAGACCTAAACTATACGAACGATACAATCATATCGAGTGAAGACGCTAAAACGATACAGAGTCCTCTAGATAATCTGAGTGGCAGTTTGAAAATGTTTTAGATACGTTTCTCGTCAGCATAATGAGAATTGTTGCTTCATGAATGGTACAGAATCTCCGAACCACGACACTAGGTGTATACTACGAAGGTAAGTATAGTGGAACACCTGAAGCCGTCTCATGTCCTCCACCTTTAATATTCATGTTTCACAGTGACATAGTAGAACAGAGAAAACTGCTACGCAGTACGCTTAACTCTTAGTAAGTAATTGGACACCATGATGGGGTTGTCGGTGATGTCAGTGGGAAGAAACTAATCAAAGCATCAGTATTCGTGCTGAGATTTTGTCGTTAACTAGCCCATCACGATTGATCCAATTTCCTAAGTAGGTGAGGTGGGCAAAGCACCTAATCAATTCATTCCTTATTGACAGAAGAGAGATCAATACATGGTTAAAAAAAATAATAACTGATCTCTAACAATTCGTGTACCAATGAAATCTACGAACGAAACTTTGAAATCTTATGTTATACACCTATCAAACAGCAGAATTTGTAGAGATAATAATCCCGTATACACGCAAAAAACGAACAATCAATATTACCCTAAATTTTTAATATACACACCATTGACTTTTTTTGTGACTAGAAACTATCGCTCACATCATTATCATCAATAACATAAGAACAGGCATAATTGCATAATGATCCAAGTTGCCGCACCTCTCATTACAATACATCAAGCAGTAAAGCATAGAAATGAAAGATGAAGAGATACCGAAGTATCGATCAACAACAATAAAAAGTATTAAAAGAGAGGAAAGAGGTAGAACGATGAAGATAATGTGTGATAACATTTATGCCATTATGGTTACAGTGTAGACTGTTGGATTCATATTCAATATATGGCAAACTCAAGCATCAAAAAGGACGCTCCATACAAAATAATGTAACAACATTAAAGTGTTGAATCGAATCCAGATCAAAATTCACTCAACTATCTTGTGCACATGTTCGTGCAGTAGACAGTGATATGAAGATATAGAGAAATGACTAGTCTGCAGACAGATCAACCAGAATGTACTTTATGTCATCACTTCTACAATTAGACAGATAGATGGATCAGCCAACCAATAGGATTACCTTAAACAGCGAACTATGTATGAGTTACTTGTATTTTCCATTGTTTCGATCTTCGATCTTTTGACCCGAAATACACGTCTCTACACGTCCATCGTAACTTCTCCAGTGATCAGTCGAGTCGGAAATCAACTAGGGATTTTTCGAATGTTGGTGGCTGACAATCGATATCCATGCATCGTAAGCCGCCACAGCAGTTTCCAAATCATAACAACAAATGGGCCGCAACTGTTGTGCGTGTGAGAGAGGGCTAATGATAATATTTGACTGCCGGAACTTAGGTAGGTCCAAAGAGGTGTTCGAACAGATGACCAAATTGGTTGAGTCAACTCCCTAAATAAATATAAGGGTCAGTTCTCTATCAACTAAAGTGCCATCTAACATACTTTCTAGTTTCAATTAGGTTATCTACCTGATATAAGTATTCAATAGCTTGTATGTAGGTAAAGAGGAAACCAGCAAAATATAGCAACTCCTCATACTCTACAGATCTCATTTATCCATGTTGCTCGATGTGGCTAACAATTCCTCCGTGGCATAGTGGATAACACGGCATCTAAAGTGATGGGTACGAAGTTCCAATCTCGGCGGGAACAACACTCCACACTGGCATGTAGGCACATTCAGCTGACGAATCCTAAAAGGACGAAAAGCGTATCCATCAAGATCAATATCAACATAGGAAGAGACATTACTGCCTAACACTCCAACTTGCCACACTTCATATCACCACATCAAGTAAAAAAGCAGTGAACTGCAACATGAAGAAAACAAAATTCAATCAATACAAATATAAACTACTCAAAGAGAGAGAAAGAGGAAGAATGAGAAAATGGTGAGATTCGGTATTGCGTCGTTAAGATGAGGATAATGTGTGTGTGCATTCATCTTAACCACTGACATCGGTTCTCAACCATGTGATGATCACATACAGTCAGTCAGTCTCCAACTACTCCTTCCTCTTGTCCCATCGACCCCAACCGGCTAGTCTACATCACCACACATGACTCAAACCAACAGTCAAACACTTCATACATTCATGCCATGTCATGTTTTAGTCTGGCCATACTCACCCGCTCTCCAGCCTGAACCTACTTCGACCAACATTGTGTGACGAGGTAATCGGCGACCAGGCATGCGTAACACGTGTCCCAACCATGCGAACTCAGTCGATGAAGGTTCACAATCGTGTCAACTGAATTACCTCATCTCCCTAAAACTCTACACCTGACTTGTGTGTTACTCATGTGGTGATACCACGGAATACGGTCTGGTCTGGTCTGGTCTGGTCTGGTCTGGTCTGGTCTGGTCTGGTCTGGTCTGGTCTGGTCTATACTACGAAGGCAACGGTGGTCAAACACTTCAAGCCTTCTCATGTCTTCCACCTTCGATGGTCATGTTTCACAGCCAGAGAGTAGAAGAGAGGGGAGTGCTGTGCAGGTGCAGGTGCAGTACACGCGACCCTTAATAGACAAACGCATATCAAGGCGACGCCACAGGTTGTCTAAGTTGGCGAAAGCCAACTCAGCCTTTTGTATTCGTGCAGAGATTTCATAGGCAACTGAGCCACCATCGTAGGACAGAGATCCGACTACCCAGGTAACTGAAGTGGTCGACACACTCAATCACTACACTCTCTATTGTTAGTCATGATGGTGCACCGTTGAAGACCAATCCCAAAGCAACAATCTCCACTTGGGTGGTGACAAGCACATCCCAAACATTCTCAAATTGACACTCAAAGTTTCCAGGAGACTCTGCATCTTGTCAGCGTCTTCACTCAACAGGACTATGTCATCTGCATATTCTAGGTCTAACGGAAACCCTCCACCGATTAGGTCAATCTCTGTGTAATCGGATGACGAGAGGGAGACACCTCCATGAGAATATCTATGATAAAATTCAATAAGAATGGAAACAGACAGTGGGCATGCTTCACAGACACCACTCGATGAGTTCAGCTCTCCGGATATCTCACCATAGGTTCTAACATGCCCACCAGGTTTCCAGTAGAGAGTCTTCAGTGAGGTGATGTACTTACTCGGCACGCCTTTCAGTGAGAGACATTACCATAAGACTTCTCGATCAACGGAGTTGAATGCCACCTTCACGTCAAAAAATACAGCTAGTGTTGGCATCGGTAAGCGCGTCTGTGTTCCAGAACCTGGGGGAGAGTGAATATTTGGTCGATACACCCGCGGCTAAGTCTAAAGCCTGTCTGCTTGGTTTTCTCGGGTTTGCTGTTTTCGAGCTCCACTCAGGCGTCGGAGAATTATAGAACCTACGATCTTGGACACTATGTTCGTCAGGCTGATTCCTCTGGCGTAATCATAAGAGGACTTTACGCCTTTCTTGAATACTAGAATTATCGGTGATTCAGACCAGTCAGTGGGGACAGTATTTAATTCTTATATACTGGTTAACACTTCTGTTAACCTGATTAAGAGCACCTTATTACCACCATCCTTGTATACCTCTGGAGTTAGTCCGTCTGATCCTGCTGCCCTCCCTCATCTCAGGTTACCTACTGCTTTCTCGACTTCACGTTATTGTTGAGGGACCTATCCCAATGTTCCATTCAGCATCCGACTGGATAGCGAGCAACGCAATCGTGGCTGGAGGTCAGTTAAACTGCTCCTCGAAGTGTTCTGCCCATCATTCCAGTCGTCTCCTCTGCGAGTGAATCGCAGATCCGTCTTCCTCCCCTATAGCCTCACTAACTGTTGTTGATCTTTTCCCCCAGTCTACTTAATAAGTGTAAATAACTGTCTACTATTACCAGTCGCCGCTGCCTTTTCCATCTCTTTAACCTTTGCTGCCCACCACTGTTCACGATCGTTGCGTAGACTTTTTCTCAATCTACTTTTAAGTTGCGTTCGCTCTTCATTGTACTCAGAGCCTGCAGGGATGCGTTCATGTGCATGCATTAGTTCGGAAGAAGCTAATGATATCCACTGGCTCATTTTAGCTACGCTTTCGGGGTCGGCTACAGTCTTCAATGCTGCTTTTACAGCAGACTGGAGACGGCATCAAGCTTCTACTGGATGAGTGATAGTTTTCTGTTCCGATGACTGCCTAGCCAACTTCTCACTGAAGGCGGCTTTGGTGTTTTCGTTGTCGAGCAGCACTCGTAGTAGTTTTGTTGACAAGTCTTTTTTACCTCCATTAAGACGCAGGCATATACGTGCTGGGAACAACGCGTGGTAGCTATCCAAATAGGTACTCCAGAAGGAGCGGCAGTCTTCCACCGATCCTCTCTAGTTATGACTAACAGCAATGTGGTCAATCTGTGTCCATCGCTGAGTTAAAAACGCGTATCCTGGATTCTTCTGTTAGCCACAATAAGAAAGATAGTGTTTAAAACAACTCTAAACATTCTACTAAGTTCAACGAATTGCCCATTAAACACACACAAAATGTAATTACTTTGGTTACTTGGATATTTTTCATTGGACACATTAAGTGGATGAATTTGAGGAAGAAACGACTTGTTGTTGTTGTTGTTGTTGTGCAAATTATTCACATTGATCACCTTTTCTTTATCAACTGATAAGGTTGAATTGGATGTCAGTATATCATAATTTGTTTCATTCAACACTGATTTCATTGATTTATTAACATTATTATTTTGTTCATATGCAGTAGTATACTTTGGAGGGTGATCGATTGGAGTAGGTGAATTGGAGATGATATCTGTAATAGATGGGAAATCTTGCATAAGAAGTTGTGTTAATGAAGTGAATGGTGGACTGGGTATAATATCAGAATTAGGCTTATAATCCAATGTTCCAGAGATTTTTCGACTACTAGTCAGCTCTTCAAACTGAGAAGCATGTCGTGTTCTCTTGTTACCACTACCAAGTGATAATATATTATATGAGTTGTTTACTGGTGGTGAAATCGATTGTGTAATAGTAGTAGCTGGACCACTACGACATCGTTTATTATTATTCAATGTTGTCAATTGTTTATCCGATAGATTGTCAAGTGAAGCAGCAATTAGTCGACATTCTGGTTTCCGATTATTTAACTGTCGTACACTCGTATCAGTAGTAGTAGTAGTCGAATTTGTAATATTCAAACAGGTCAAATCTGTTTTATCTGTAATCGATTGACAAACTACAATGGAACGAGGTAAAAGTGTTGTTGGAGAGGCTAACGGTTTTGTTAGAGGCTAAAATTAAAAAAAATATATATGAATAATGTAAGGAAATTGAAAACAGTTCAGTGTCAATAGAAAAGAAACAAGACAGATTTTCTTTGATTAAATTAAAACAGATAATTTTTTTTTCAGTGTTTTTACTAATTTAACCATTCATCATTCGGATATCCTGAATTTTGAACTTATTGGCCAGAATAAATAACTAGGCTATTCGATCACTTTCTCTACGCAAATGATTAAATTAGGTGAATTGGAGAACATCGAAAAATGTTTGTTTAAGAAACACTTGTAAATCTTTTTCGATGATATCATCTCCGAAAACTGTACAATCGTATTTATGTGTACATCATAAACATATAACAGTCTATTATTAAACAATAGGGTATAATTGAATCATTAAGCGAGTGCTAACAGAAACCAAAATCAGAAATAGAAAGTGAGTTGCATAATAATCTTTCAAACAATGGAAATAATGAAGAAGTCAAGGAGTTTGACCAGATAAGAAATACGAAATGGTTAAGTGTCCAATTGATAGATAGTTGTAAATAGATACCCATCCAGATCTATTGAGAAGAAATTGAAATTAAAACAGAATACGGGGCAAGTACTCATAGTTCCAAAAAAACACCTTGTTTATTAACGTTGATTTCACAGGTGATACGGCACCAGAGATCTTGAAGAATCGGTTGTCCAGATCGCTGAAGATATTCTTCTCTATGAAGCTAGAGATCAGCTTTTCTAGTCGGCAACTGGTTCTGGAGTGCGTTAAGGACAAGTTGCAGCTTTGGTTCACCTTAAAGTGTATGTTTACAAATTAACTTCATCCTATGGAGCTACTTATATAGGCCGCACAAAGCTCACACTTTCCAAACATATCTGTTAGCACTGTCCTGCATGGTTATCGAAGGGAGAATGTAAATCAATTAACAGTTCAATTCTTGAACATTTAGTCAACTCTGGACATAAAGCTAGACCAGAATCTTCGTTCAGTGTCATTTATCGAGTCATCATCATCATCATCATTATCAACATAGGACCAGGCATTACTGCGTAACGGTCCGAGTTGCCACACCTCATATCAGCACATCAAGTAAAAAGGTAGTGAGGTGAAGGATGAAGATAAGTGAATGCAGTCAAAAGAAATATAAAGTATGAGAAGAAAGGAAAGAGGAGTGACAAAATAGTGAGATTCGGTATAGCGTTGTTAAGATGAGGATAATGTGTGTATACATCTGCGCCACTGACTTCGGTTCTGAGCCATATCACCTAGGGTCTCCAACCACTGGTTCCTCTTGTCCCGTGGACCCCAACCACCTAGTCTGCATCGTCCTACATGGCTTAAACCAACAGTCAGAGACTTCATACATTGGTGCCATGTTTTAGTCTGGCCACCTCGGGCCTTTTTCCAGCCTGAACCCACCTCAGCCAACATTGTGTGACGAGGCAATCGGTGACTAGGCATACGTAGTACGTGTCCCAACCATCTCAGTCGATGAAGGTTCACAACCTCGTCGACTGACTTACCTCTTCTCCCTAAAACTCTACACCTAACTTCTGCATTACTCACATGGTGACACCACGGAATACGTCCTATACTACGAAGGCAACGGTGGTCAAATACCTGTAACCTTCTCATGTCTTCCACTTTCAATGGCCATGTTTCACAGCCATACAGTAGAACAGAGCGGACTGCTGTGCAGTACACGCGACCCTTAATAGACAAACGAATATCACGGCGGCGCCATAGGTGGCGCAAATTGGCAAAAGCCAATCGAGCCTTTTGTATCCGTGCAGAAATCTCATCGGCAACTAACCCACCGGAGTTGATCCTACTTCCCAGGTAAGTGAAGTGGTCAACACACTCAACCACTTCACTCTCTATTGTTAACCGCGGTACCGCTGAAGACCAGTCCTGGAGCAAAAATTTGCATTTGGGTGGTGAAAATCGCATCCCAAACATTCTCAAATTCCCACTCAAAGTGTTCAGAAGACTCTGCATCTTGTCAGCGTCTTCACCTAACAGGACTATGTCATCTGCATATTCTAGATCTAAGGAAAATTCACCTGTGGTCCGGTCAACGTCTTTGTAATTAGGTGACGAGAGGGAAACCTCCATAAGAATATCTATGATAAAATTAAATAAGAATGGGGATAGTGGGCATCCTTGACGGACACCACTTGATGAGTATAGCTCCCTGGACAACTCACCATAGGCTCTAACATGCCCACAAGTGTTCGAGTAGAGAGCTTTCAATAAGGTGATGTACTTACTAGGCACGCCTTTCAGTGACAGACACTGCCATAAGACTTCTCGATCAACGGAGTCAAATGCCGCCTTCAGGTCGAGAAATACAGCTATTGTCGGGCGTCTGTAAGCATGCCTATGTTCCAGGACCTGGCGCAGTGTGAATATTTGGTCGATACATCCACGGCCAGGTCTAAAGCCTGCCTGGTTTTCTCGGGCTTGCTGTTCCCGAGCTCCACTCAGGCGTCGGAGAATTATAGAACTTAGGATCTTAGACACTATGTTTGTCAGGCTGATTCCTCTGTGGTTATCACAAGAGGACTTCTCGCCTTTCTTGAAGACTGGGATGATCAGTGACTTAGACCAGTCGGAGGGGATCGTATTTGATTCCCATATACTGGCTAACACTTCCGTTAGCCTGACTAAGAGAACTCTACCACCATTCTTGTATACCTCAGCAGGTAGTCCGTCTGGTCCTGCTGCCCTTCCCCGTTTCAGGCTACCTACCGCTTTCTCGACTTCTTCTAGTGTTGGGGGACCTGTCTCTATGTCCCATTCAGGGTCCGACTGGATAGCGGGCAGCGCAATGGTGGCTGGAGGCCAGTTAAACTGTTCCTCAAAGTGTTCTGCCCATCGTCCCAGTCGCCTTCCCTGCGAGTGAATCGCCGATCCGTCCTTCTCCGCTATAACCTCACTAACTGTTGTTGACCATTTCCCCCCAGTCTCCTTAATAAGTCTAAATAACTGTCTACTGTTACCGATCGCCGCTGCCTTTTCCATCTCTTTAGCCTTTGCTGCCCACCACTGTTCACGATCGTTGCGCAGACTTTTCGTCAGTTTATTTTTAAGTTGCGCTCGCTCTTCATTGTACTCAGAGCCTGCAGGGATGCATTCACGTGCATCCATTAGTTTGGAAGAAGCTGCTGATATCCACTGGCTCTTTTTAGCCATTATCTTGGAGTCGGCTACAGTCTCCAGTGCTGCTTTTACAGTAGACTGAAGATGGCACCAAGCTTCTTCTGGATGAGTGACAGTCTTTTGTTCCGATAACTGCCTAGCCAACTTCTCACTGAACACGGCTTTGGTGTTTTCGTTGTCCAGCAGAACTCGTAGTGGTTTTGTTGCCAAATTTTTTCTACGTCCATTGAGACGCAGGCATATACGTGCTCGGACCAACGCATGATCGCTGTCCAAACACGTACTCCAGAAGGAGCGGCAGTCTTCCACCGATCCTCTCCAGCGATGACTAATAGCAATGTGGTCTATCTGTGTCCATCGCTGAGTCGAGCTCGGTGGACGCCAGGTCAGACAGTGCCTTTCTTTATGTCTGAAATTTGTGCTGGCTAAAAAATTTATCGAGTCAGATGGAATTGTTCAAAAGGAGTACGCCTTCGACAATTGTACACAGCGGAGGCACTAGTAATTCATCAATTCAAATCTGATCTCTACATCCATATGCAATATGTTCAATCTCTCATTCTACCATGGTCTAAACACTTTCACAACTCTTTGTCGATTTCATTATAATTAATTAGTTTATTATTATCACCTTCATTATGACCCTTGTCTCGTTCTTCACCTTCTTTACATCTATTTATCAAGTGGACAACTCAATATTTGCGTTTCTTATCTACCAACACTTTTCATCTTGTCAAACTCCTTACCTTCCTCATTATTTCTACTGTCTAGCAGATTATTACGCAACTACTTTGCATTCTTGATTCTGATGTTTTAACACTAGGCTAATGATGTAATTATACCCTAGTGTTTTATAACAGACTGTTATATGTTCATGATATATATAAATACGATTGTACAGCTATAGAAAATGATATCATCGAAAAAGAGAAAAGGTTTCTTCGCTGAATTATCTCTTTTCTATGACTCAATGAGCATGTGCTGCCTAGTTTATAGATCACTTTGTGTACATTTTCCCCTGTTTGATTATGTCATAAGCGTTATCAGTAAATTCTATTTATTTTATATGTAAATTCAATTGTAGTATCATTGTAAAACGATTTGATTGCTACAAACACTGGAGTTACTGAATAGTTGCTTTTGATAAAATCACGTGTAGTGGACGAAATTCAACATATTTTTGGCATCTCTTTGAAAAGGAATCATTTACCTTTATTATATTATAACAATGGCCAATAGCTTTAAGCATTGTCAGAAATGGAGATTTCAATGTTTACTGTATCTAACATGATGTCGGATAGTTTAGGTTAATGAATATAGGGAATAGCATCATCATCATGTTTCAATGAACATACGGCAACTTATTTCTCAACTATTTAGAATCACATAATTTAGTTACTCAATGAGAGTAGAAAACTGCAGTTAAATCTATGCATTAAACTATCTGTCAAATTTTTCTTATCCCTAGAGTATTGGGGATAAGAATATGATTCTGGTTAGTGTAATAAAATCTACTCTCTTTAGCTTAACGGTTGAAGGTACCGAAAAAAAAAAAAAGAAAATTGTTTACTTCATTGGTGACTTGACCAAGATTTGATCGAAAGGTTTCAAAACTAATCATCAATGAGTAAAAATGCTGACATTAGATTCAGATTACGTTGGTAACATCCTCACCACAACAACTAATGCTACTGAGTTCAATTCTTCATAGGGTTAAGGGTTCTATCAGTCCGTGATGAATACCATATTGAAATCGATTGACCACCACAAACCACGAATTACATCTCAATATCTTTGAAAAATGAATAATTTAAAAGTATCATCTTATATAGTCCTACCTGAACATCTTCAAAGAAATGGTAGATTGAGTGAATAAAAGTATCAACAACAGATAAATAAGGTCAGTCACCATTCCGTCTAGCACTTATTTACAATAACGCTTAATTAATTCCTACGTACTCAATTCGTCTGAGTAGACCGTTGGTGTGCTGGCGTTGTCTCCAAGCCAGTGAAGCTGCCGCACCCGGACGGTTTCCAACGGAAATCCTGTTGAAACTACAATGGATCAGCTTTAAAAAATGTCAATATGTATTAGGCAATTTGTCAATCATTTTGCTATTGTTCAAACATCGTTTTAAAAAATCTATGCAGCATAGAATCACGCAAATAACTTCATCTCACAAAATTTCCTTTTCCAATATATTCATTTCAGATTGGTATTCATATCACGAAGTGATATCGATTGGAAAAATATTAGAAACCTGGGAGCACTGAACACTAGTTGTTTCGTCCTACTATGGGAGTCCTCATGAGCGCACACTTCTTAAGAACTGTTGGCATTGTCTTAACCCTCGTAATATTCATGTGCTCCTGTGGAGCGAGTTACATTGGGCGTACAATGAGGCAGTTCCATCGTCGAGTTTCTAAACACCACCCATCATGGTTGAACAAGGGACAAATTAGAACTATAAAGAGATCCATACTTGCACACTTAGTTGAAACAGGACATCAACTGGTTACTGGAAAAGCCTTCAAAATTATCCATCAGATTCCAATTAATTTGCCTTATGGATTACGCACTCGGTTACTTCATATAGCAGAGGCGATTGCAATCCACCTTTACAAACCTAGCCTTTGTATCCAAAAGAAGTTTGTTCGACCACTTTCATTACCGTGGCCGTCAACATGATGTAACTTCTAGGTTTATTTTGTGCACCTCTTCCCCTTCTTGTTTCTATCAATATTCGTATTTCCTATTTTAGTAACTCTATTGATTATTTACATCATTATTTCCGAAACACCATCATGTGATTGGTGATTTGATTAAATTGTAAACCTATATATTAGTGTGGAGCCCAAGATGAAGACCTAATTGAAAAGGAATATATTTCTTCACTCAATCAGTCTTTTTCTAAATGTCTAAATGGGTGTATTCAATGTATTGAAATCAATAAATTCGTAAAACCTCCATATACAGTAGCCGTTGAAAGCGTTCAGTGTCTCTATTTAACAATTCATCTTAGTAACCACAAGAAAGCGACTTCTATGGACAATAAATTATACAATATTAAAATTAATTAATGATAAAACTTACTCCTCCATCATAAGTACTTATATCTGAAATTCCTAATGAATGATTTTTGGTTGGATGTAGTAAACGCTGTTGAAAAGAAAAGTAAAGAGGAAAAAGGTTGTATAGTAGAAGAATAATTGCTATTAAGAAGAGCAGATAATTAAAGAGATAATACATAGGTAGATAAATCAGTACGGAATCTAACTTAAAAGTGTTTCACTTCACTATGTTACAAATCAAAGCAACACTATGCAAAAGAACAAGTCAGCAGAAAACGAATAATAATAATAATATTAAAGGTAGAGAAAATGTCGTCTGCTTCCTGACACAATATGTTACCTGAAGT